AAAGTTCAGAAGTGACTTTGCCAGGAGGGGCCAGGAGAGCCAGAAGCTGGCATCCCGAGGTTTCCTTCCCACAGGCCCCGCTCCTGCAGACCACACAGTCTTTCCACAGGGAAAACTCAAAGTCCAGTTGAAACAGCTCTCCGGGGACATTCCTTCCCCTGGGCGGTGGTATTTTGGGGAGCGGATGTGAACTTCCCTGAGGGGGAGAGGTGTAAGCTCCCAGCATCCTGCTCCGCTCCCTCCCCCCCAAACCCCGCGCTCCATTCTCCAAATTTAGGGTGGGAGGAGGACGTGGGAAGGGGTTTATGCTCTCTGAGACCAGAGAACTGAGGCCCAGGACTCGGGGCAGGAGGCCCCAAAAATACAGCCCACAGAAAGAGATCCTAAAGGAGCTAGAGGGAGACCCAGAAGTCCTGTCTGAATACCGAAAAGCTGGCTAGAGGGTCCCTTTCTCCCTAGAGGAGGGGTCACTGACCACACAGGAAGCTGCCCCCAGGGCCTCCCCCAGCAGCTTGGGCTCCACCCGCACCCCCCACCACCTCTGTCTCCTCTTCCCACTTTGTAAAGGGGGAGCCGGGAGACTGAATCACAGCTGCCGGGGGAAGCTGAGAAAGGCTTGGAGACCGGATTGGGGCTTCCGGAGAGCCCCAGGGTCCCCGCCCCAAGCCTGCTCGGGCCCGCGGCGCCGCCTGAGCATTTATGGTAATGTTTGGGTTGGTGCATGGCCGGATGCCCCGCCTCCGGCGGCCTCGGGGACTGGACCCGGTGAGCTGGGGCTCCCGGAGCCTGGAGGAGCCTGGCGCCTTGTCGGCATCCTGGGCTGAGGCCCTGGGTGCTGGAGACCAGAGGTCACGCAGGAGGGCTGCTCACGTGAACAGGCCCTGGAGAGGGAGTCCAAGGGGACCGCAGGGACAGTGCCGGATCTGAGTGCGTAGCAGGGCTGGACTAGGAGGGGAGCGCTGTGACCCCTCCCGAGCAGCCCCTACTCCCACAGCGCTGCTCCCCCCCCCGCACCCCCCCTTAGGGTTTAAGGACCCCAAGTCCCCAGGAAGAACCCTGTGCATCCACATCCTTTCTCCTCTTCCCCACTCCCTGGCAGGCAAGGGGCTGAGTGGAGCGGCCAGCAGCTCCCTGGGGAGCCGCTGGAATGCTGGGAGCCTGGGAACAGACCCTGCCTTCCCTGGGAAAGCAAGGCTGTGGGGAATCCCACCCACAGCCCCCTCCCCAGCATGGGCCACCGGATGCGCGAGACCCCAGCTCCCCAACAGGGGGCTTTGTGAGGGTAGAAAACCCCTGTCCAAGCCCCAGACTGGCGCGACCCCGGAGTTCACTAGGCCAGCTGTGACGAAGACACCCCCTCCCCCGCCGGGGCTGGGCCTGCCCGAGTCAACATAATTCTCCCCATTGTGCCATGCCCCCTCCCCCACTCCCCTTCTCTGGACCCCTGTACAATAGGGCCTTTGGCGCCTCCAGCTCTCAGGGTGGAGATGAACTCACTCATGGTTTTTCCAAGTTTAAAAATAGCCCCTCCCATCCCCCCCAAGTCACTCTCCTGTTCCATGCAGTTTCCGGGGTGCATGCACCTCAATCCAGGCTGATCCAGTCCTTCCTTCCTCCTGCCCTGAGTCAGGTACGAAGGACGTGATGACACAGGGTCTGGAAGGAGAGGGGCTGCTTCCCCCCATTCAATTTCTTCCCCCACATCTTCCACCCAGCCCCCCAGTATCCGGTTTCCTGGCCTGATGATGTCCTCAGCAACAACTGCCCCCTACCCCCTCCACCCTGGTTTTCATTCCCTCAGCCAGGGGTTCCCCAACCCCTCTAATTGCCAAGATTGCTGGCCACCCCCTCCACGCCCTGCTCCTTTTCACTGCAGCTGCAAACATGTCTTTATCAGCTTCCTTCCTCAGCCCAGCCTTCGCACATCCTCCTGGTCAAGGCCCCTTGACTAGAAGGGTGAGGGGAGGGAGCATTGTGCCCACTCTGCTGGAGCCTAGAGAGGACAGCGCTCAGATTTCACCTCCGGATACAGGCCCATCTACTTCTCCTTACTTGACACGAAAGTCCTGCCCACCCAGGAGGCTATACCTTAGGGTCCCTGACCACGACCACTCCCCCACCAAATTTTCCTCTCCCTGTGGTCAGACCTGTGCCCGGGAGACACAAGGAGGGCCTCTCGTGTCTGAGTAGCCTGGGTCTACCATGAGGGTGGAGGGGACCAGCAGTGCAAACCCCTCCTTCTGGAGAGAAATGAGGCAAAGAATTAGGGCTCAGGCCTGGGAGCTCTTCTTCTGGTGTCAGCCTACATCTGGAAAAGGCAGCTTCGAGCCCAGTCCACGCACCACAGCTGGTGATGGAAGGCCATTGCTGCCCGCTTCATCCTTCCACTGTGTCACCTCGCAGTGGGGTGGCACAGGATGGAGGAAAGACAAGTCAAAGCCCAAGCAGTGAGGGAGAGAGACCCAGAGGGGCTCACACCTATGGAGAGGGAGCCGCCCACCGTCTCACATTGATTTGGCATCAGCTTCAGGGAAGGTGGGCAAGGATGTGGAGGAAAAGAGTGGAGGAACGTGAGTGCGTGGTGGGGATGTGGATTGGGCACAAGCTAGGGGGGAATCAATAGGGGCTGTTGCCTGGAGGGCTCCATAGTTGCTGCTGATCAAAATATACCTCTCTCTAGTCCCTGTTTGCATTTAGTCAAGGTGGGCTAGCTGTGTGCTAACCTGGCCGTGCTGTCTGCCTGCTGTTTTCAGCAGATATCCTCATACCAAGACTTTGTCCTGGTGAGAGGCCCCTGCCTGACTCTACATTTTAACTTGACCAGCAGCAACTTTGGGTGCCAAGCAAAATCCTGGATCGCAATTCTCTCTGGAAGTTCTTCCTCTGCCACTTTCTTTCCCACTACCGCTGAAGCTCTCTCTTCTGGCATCTTAGAGGAGTTGGAGAGGCCGCCCCCTCCTCTTCTGCTCCCACTTCCCTGGCCTCTGGCTTTCACCCCATTTTTTTCTCTTTCCTCTGGTTTCCAGTCCCCTCTGAATCCTCTCCAAGGTCCTGACCTCTCTTTGGAAGCCCAAAGTGCCCCCCTCCTTAACCCATCCCAAAGCTGCCTGCCCCCAGCCCTCTACCACCCACTCCCTCCAAGCCCAGATCGCCCAGAGCTGCAGCTTCCTGACAGGACAGCCTTTGTGCTTGTTTGGTGGGGCCTTGCTGGGAAGGGATGTCACCCCCAGCTAACCTCATTTCCCCTCTCTGCAGAGGCAGCTCCTCCACCCCTACCTGGCTTCACTTTCCTCAGGGCGGAAGAAGAATCCCGAACTGACTGTCCTTGGTGGTTAGCTGGCTTTGATTTCAGAGGCCAGAGAGGCAAATGATTAGTTAATGGTGTTAAGTGAAGGGAAGGAGGTGGGGGCTGGGAAGCAGCGTTTGTTCCATGCCCAGCTCTGGGCTTGCCAGGGCAAACAGCATCCTTCAGCCATTCCCACTCCTGCCCCTGCAGACAAACAAGCACATCCCTTCCATTTTGGGCTCTGAGCCAGTCTATACATTCACTCTGGGGGCTCTTCTCTCCCCCCCCCCAGGCTCCAGGCTTGGTTGGCTTGGCATGGCCTCTGGCTGGAGACTAATGGAGAGGGGGGAGGGGATGAGCCAGGCTCTAAAAGATGAGGCTGATGTGGTTTGCATCTCTGCGTCATCAAAAACGCAGCCCTAGAGCATTATCTCCAGTCACCTGCCCATCTCTGGTGTTTGCTGCCTCACCCTGCTCCTCCCCCAACCAGCTGCCCTGCAGGTGAGCCTCTGCTCCAAATTCTGGGTCCCTCTTAACCCTTCCTGCTAAAGGAGTGTGGGCAGATGTGGACCCCTTTCCCTAGGCCAGAGTGCTGAGGTCACTTTGAGACAAGAGCCCATGTCACTCCTTAAAGCCTTGGGCCAAGAGGCCAGAAGACTAGGATTTGGAAGAAGGGCAGCTGCAGGGCTCCCCATCTTGCTGGATGGCACACCCCACTTGGGCAGGGGCACGGTTGCCTGAAACACATCTGATTTCGCCTCTGCACACACACACACACACACACCCCACTGCTGAGCCACAATCATAGGATTGGGGAAGCCACTGGGAGGGGCAGCCTAAGGGGGTTGGAGCTGCTTGCAGGGGGACCATCAGGAACAGCAACAGGTTTTCAGGGATGGAGCTGGGGACCTTGCACTCATTAACTCTTCCTTCCCCCTCTTTTCTTCATTCAGGTGATGGGAAATGAATGAAGAGGCACAAACAGATTCTCAAGGTCTGGGCTTGGACAAATTAGAGACCCCTGGGTCTGCGAATTCTGGCCCCTGCTTCTGATCCAAGACTGACTTGCTGCAACTTGGGTTTAAAGGGCCCACCCAAAAGGTGCCATCTTACTTCCCAGTACAGGTACCTCTGGGTCAGTGGGAGTTCGGCCCAGGCTTCTTCCCTCAAAGTTGCCAGGGCTGGAAGGCTTGGGGGCAGCGCCAGGCCGTTGGCAGCGCAGTGGCGCAATCATTCTGGGAAGCAATCTTGGTGGCCAGGATTTCTCTGTGTCAGGGGTCCCGCGGGGGTGGAGGAGGCAGGGAGAGAAGCCTGGATGGGAGGTCCCCCCTGGCGGACACCCAGGACCTTGTAGCCGGTGCACAGGGCTGCGCCAGCGGGTAGGGGATGAAACTGCTGGTTCTGACCCAGGGCGACTCCGGGCATCCCGGCCAGCTTGTCCCGCTGCCACCTCGATCTGTCAGTCAGGCCCCTCGACACCTGTCACTGCGCCCTCCACCTGCCCGAGCCCGGGCTGGGAGGCCGGCTCCCGCCTACCTCCCTGCGGCGCGGCTCCGCGCAGCTCCCGGCTCGGCGGCGCCGGGCCCGCCCCCTAGGGCTGCGGCTTCGGGGCGGGGGCGGGGGGCTGCGCGGGGCGTGGCGGCCCGCCCGGGCGCTCGGGGCCCCTCCCCCGCCCCCCTGACGTCAGCCCCCGGCTGCTGCGAGCTCCCTCACTTGGCGCTCGCCCTCCGGCCGGGAAGCATGGGGCTCCCCAGGTTCGTCTGCGCCTTCTTGCTCGCCGTCTGCTGCTGCAGTCGCCGGGCGGCTGGTGAGTGAGTTCGCTGGGGGTGCCCGCGCCCCCCACCCCGGGGCCCGGCCGCGGGTCCTCCGCTGAGCCCGCCCGGGAGCCGAGCGGGCATCCCGGCGCCGGCCGGGGCTTTGCGCTCCGCGGTGCGCTGCTCCTCCTCGGGGCCCCGGCTCCCGGGCGCCTGGTGCGCTCGCAACTCTTTGCATCCAGTTTGCAGCTTCTGTTCTCCTGTGTCCCCAGAGCAGGACTGGAAAGGCGGGGAGGAGATCGCTGCCTGGAGCGGGAAGAGTGGGGCCGAGCTTCTGGGGGGCTTGGGGAGAGGTTTTCCTCAGGTGCTTTCTTGGCGGCGGGGTGCGGGGCGCATTTGGAGTCGTGGTGGGAGGCGCGGCCCGAGCGCTTCCCCAAATCCTGGATTCCGCGCCCGCCTGTTGCTGGAAATGGCAGCTTCTTAGCTGGAGGGGTGCGCCGACCCCTCCCCCTCGGCCCGGGCTAGGAGCCAGGCTGGAGGTGAGCGAGGGGGGCGCACGGCGGCTCCCACAAGAACTGGGCGTTGGCAGCGTCTAGGGCGCAGCGTGGGGCGCCTCGCGCCTGCCGCGTGGAGGGGATCACAGGTGGCAGAGACGAGGGATTGAAGATTCCTGGTGCAGAAGCGCCCAAACTTGCTATACCTTCCGGAATGGGGGCCACATTCAGTGAGGAGAGGGTCCCTGCTCCTGAGTCCCCCCCCAGCTGCTTAGTAGCGGGGGCTCCCGGGTCCACGCTGCCCTTGTATGGCCCGCAGTAGTGTCGCGTGTTTGTCTTGGTTCCCTGGTCGGGTCCCAGCCCCTATCCGGCTGCAGGAGGGGAGGGCTAGGCAATACCCAGCTGACTGGCCTCATGCCCAGAGCAGGCAGCGTCCCTGGGGTACCCCCGCGTCCTTCCTCCCAGGCTGACTTTATTTCTGGGGAAAGAACTAAACGGCAGCCACAGCAGCAGCAGGTCCGGCCCCACCCTGCCCTGCTTCTAGCTCTGGGATCCCAAGTCAAGGAGCTGAGGCTTTGCCTCTGGGTTGAAGACCATCTGCCCTCCTGGCCTGGGAGCCAACTCAGGGCAACAACCAAGGCATCCCAGAGTCCAGCCAGATGGCGTTGGGTGACATCACCTCCTCACAGGGCGGGCAGCATGCTGGCACCGCTGACGTCACTCCTGCCCACTGCCTGGCCCTTGCCTTGACCCCTGGGGGAGATTCTGACCCCTCTAGACTCCCAGGACTCCCAGGATAGAGTCTACAAGTATATGGACCATGCCCAGAGGTGCTGCTTAGTTAAGGAGTATGAGGTGGGAGATTTGACCCACCTGAAAGTGGGGGTTTGAGGAGGAGAGTTTTTTTGGGGAGAGGGAGCAAAGGGCAGTCTTACAGAAGTCTTCCCTTGGGTGTGGGGACACAAAGGGGCCTGTGTGCCCCAGCCTGGCACATGCCTTGCATTCCCACCCTGTGAGCTCACTCAGAGAAGAGGGGGCCTGGAAGGAAAGGGCCCTTCCTCTTGGCCTAGAGCCTGGTTTGCCCCTCTGTCAGGGCTCTTCAGGGAGGTGAGTATCTCCAACTCCTTTGAGTTGGGAGCAGGTTGGCCCACGGTGTGGGAGAGGGTGGTTGAGGGTTAGGAGAGGTCAGGGCCCTCTTCAGAGCCTTGAAGTGGCAGGAAGAACAGCTGTGGTGAGAGGGTGTGAGGGGAAGGGAGGGAAGGGGCAGGGGCAGCTGGAGCTGACACTCTGCTGGGGGTTCCCCCTCCCTCACATGCAGGTGTGCCTGGAGAGGCCCAGCAGCCCGAGCCGGAGGTGGTGGAGGTGGAAGTGGGCAGCACTGCCCTTCTGAAATGCAGCCCCTCCCATTCCCAGGGCAACTTCAGCCACGTGGACTGGTTTTCTGTGAGTGCTTGGGCCCCAGAGCGGGCAGCAGGGGTGGGAGGCGCTACTTGTCGTGTGGACCCTCACCACCTCTCTCCCCACTCATCTCAGGTCCACAAGGAGAAGCCAACACTCATCTTCCGTGTGCGCCAAGGCCAAGGCCACAGTGAGCCTGGGGAGTACCAAAACCGTCTCAGCCTCCAGGACAAAGGGACCACTCTGGTCCTGACACACGTCACCCCCCATGACGAACGCATCTTCCTGTGCCAGGGCAAACGCCCTCGGTCCCAGGAGCACCGCCTCCAGCTCCGTGTCTACAGTGAGTGCTCCTTTGGGCCTTGCGGGCTGTGGGGCGTGGGAGCTATAGGAAACGGTGTCCCGTGTTGTCCTCATTTCTCTCCCCATAGAAGCTCCAGAGGAGCCAAGCATCCAGGTCAACAATGTGGGCATTTCTGTGAACAGTGAGGAGCCCGAGGAGGTAAGATAACCCAGGTGGCGAGTGAGGTGAAGCAAGAGATAAAGTGGGGGCCTCCCCGGTGGCGCAGCGGTTGAGTGCTGGGCTGCAAAGCTGCCTGCAGCCTCTGCAGTGCTGGTTCGATCCCCAGCCGACCGGTGAGGGTCCCACATTGTGTGCAGACCTCTCCTGTCTCACCCGCTGCTCCCCTCAGCAGTGTATTTCGTCAGTCTGCCTGTTCTGTTTCCCGCTCTGGCTCTGGTGAATTCTCTCACCCTCCTGTGCTTCTGACTGTACCCAGTGCTTGTATAAACAAATTAATAAATCTTTAAAAATAAATAAATAAACTAGTGTCTCTATAAAAAAAAAAAGAGCTAAGGTGGGATTTGCTGGACTCTCGGAGACAGGGAGACTCACATTCCTCCTTCCTTAGGTTGCTACCTGTGTGGGGAGGAATGGGTACCCCATTCCTCAAGTCATCTGGTACAAGAATGGCCGGCCCCTAAAGGAGGAGAAGAACCGTGAGTAGCCTCTTGGCCCTTAAAAGTCATGCTTATGATGGGGGGGCCTCCCTGGTGGCGTAGGTGGTTGAGCGCCACACTGTGAAGCTGTTCGCAGCCTCTACAGCGCGGGTTTGATCCCGGCCGGCCAGCGAGAATCCCACATGGTGCAGCAGACCTCTCCTGTCTCGCCCGCTGCTCCCCTCAGCAGTGTATTTCGTCAGTCTGCCTGTTCTGTCCCCTGCTCTGTCTCCGGTGAATCCTCTCACCCTCCCACGCATCTGGCCTGTACTCCAGCTCTTGTATAAAAATAAATAAATCTTTAAAAAAAAAAAAGTCATGCTTATGGGGCCATGCAGGGACAAACTTGTGTTTTAGTTTTCCTTTTTCTTTTAAGTACACAAGTGATGCTTGAAAACTATCTTCAGGCGGATTTCAACTATACAGAAAACCTAGAAGAAAAATCGGATTCCAGACTCTTTCCCAGAAATACTCTTTGCTGTTAGTTCAGATGTATTCTTTCAAGCCTATTTCTACATACAGGTTTTCCTCATGATGGGAAGAGGTAAAGCATTCTTACCTGGTATGATTTGTTATGTGATTTTTTGGGTCTGGAAATGCAATTACTATGAATTTATATGGAAAAAATCTTAAGCATTCTGAGACCCAAAAAATAACCATACCAAAAGAGGAACATTCTTTTTTTGGATAGCAGGGGAAATCCGTACTTACTTACTTACTCACACAAGTAAATATATCTGGGTATATACAGACTTTTGTTTTATTTATCTAAATCAGTGCTTTTCTCAACCAGAGTGATTTTGCTCCCCCTCTGGGACACTGGACAATATCTGGATATAGTTTGGGTTACCGTGAATGGATAGGATGCTGCTGCATCAGTGGGTGGAAGCCAGGGATGCTACAAAGCATCCTACAGTGCACAGAGCAGCCTCGCCCCCTAAGAATGACCTGGGATTGAGGAGTCCTCATCTAAATGGCATTGTACAATATAGTATACAATTTTGCTGGTTTTTTGTTTTGTTTTATTTTGTTTTTACGTTTTAAATAACGTGTCTTGGAAATCTCTCTAAGAGAGAGAGTATATTTGGATCTGAGGTCAGTATATTTAGATCTGCCTGATTGTTTTGCCTCCTGCCCAGAATTCCAGGCAATGTACATGATAGCCTTTAGGTAACCATTCATTCTGCTGGGGGTGGACGTACAGAATGCTCTCTCATTTCTTTTCATTTGATCACTGTAGCATCATTTGCACACATCTTTGCGATGTGCCCCTGTGTGTGTTTCTCTAACGTAAATGGTGAGCACTAAGACTGCTAAGTTGAAAGGTCGCCCCTGGCCTTTGTACCTGGCCCTCTACAGGGGCTGCCCTCTGCCAACCCTGGAGGTCACAGCCTGTGGGGTTGGAGGCCAGGCTGAAGCCCTACCCTTCTCACCTTCCTCCCTGCCCAGGGGTCCAGATCCAGTCCTCCCAGATCGTGGAGTCCAGTGGTTTGTACACCTTGCAGAGTGTTCTGAAGGCGCAACTGGTTAAGGAAGACAAAGACGCCCGGTTTTACTGTGAGCTCGACTACCGACTGCCCAGTGGGAACCACATGAAGGAATCCAAAGAAGTCACTGTCCCTGTTTTCTGTGAGTGCCAACCCACTGTACTGGGGCTGTGCCTGGTGGAAACTCCTGTTAGCTAGCTCCTCCCACCCAGCTCAGGGGCAGCTCTAGGGCTGAGAGCCCTCCCTTTGCCTGTGCAGACCCAACGGAGAAAGTGTGGTTGGAAGTGGAGCCTGTGGGAATGCTGAAGGAAGGGGACCGTGTGGAAATTAGGTGTATGGCCGATGGCAACCCCCAACCCCACTTCAGCATCAGCAAGCAGGTGCGGAGGGCTTATGTGGGGGCACATGGGGTGGGATGTAGCTAGAGGTACACTCTGCTCACCCCTCTATCCTCCCCCCAGAACCTCAGCACTAGGGAGATGGAGGAAGAGACAACGTTAGACAATGGGATCCTGATCTTGGAGCCCGCCCAGAAAGAGCACAGCGGGCTCTATGAGTGCCAGGGTCTGGACCTGGAAACCACTACATCGCTGAGCGATCAACAGGAGCTGCTGGTGAACTGTGAGGCGCTGGGACCCAGGAGGGGCGGCAAGAGGGAATTTGCCCTGCCCACCCTCTGCCCTGCCAGCTTGACACTATTGCAATGTCCCCAGATGTGTCTGATATGCGGGTGAGTCCGGCAGCCCCCGAGGGCCAGGAGGGCAGCAGCCTCAATCTGACCTGTGAGGCAGAGAGTAACCAGGCCCTTGAGTTCCAGTGGCTGAGAGAGAAGGTACCCAGGTGGGCCCAAAGCCCTGGGGTGAGGGGCTAATGGGTGGGTGGGACTAGGAGTGAACTTCTGCCATTTCTCACCCAGACAGGCAAGGTGCTGGAAAAGGGGCCCGTGCTCCAGTTACACAACCTGCAACGGGAAGCAGGAGGAGGCTACCGCTGTGTGGCATCAGTGCCCCATGTACCCGGCTTGAACCGCACACAGCTGGTCAACGTGGCCATTTTTGGTGAGGCCCTCTGGGCAGAGATGGAAGCCAACCCCAGTTGGGTGGTTTCAAGCTTTTTTTTTTTTTTAAATTTATTTATTTATACAAGAACCGGGGTACAGGCCAGATGCGCAGGAGGGTGAGAGGATTCACCAGAGACAGAGCGGGGAACAGAACAGGCAGACTGACTGAAATACACTGCTGAGGGGAGCAGCGGGCGAGACAGGAGAGGTCTGCCGCGCCATGTGGGACCCTTGCTGGCTGGGGCTGCAGACAGCTTCACAGCACTCTACTCAACCGCCTGTGCCACTAGGGGAGGCTCGGTTTCAAGCTTTTTAAGAAAAAAAGCCAACTGTGACTTGGGATGCTCTGCTAGAGGGGGAGGCAGGCGAGCAAGGGTCTGTGCCTCACCTTCCCCTGCTTTCCCAAGGCTCCCCGTGGATGACATTAAAGGAGAGGAAGGTGTGGGTGAAAGAGAACACAATGTTGAATCTGTCTTGCGAAGCAACAGGCCATCCTCAGCCCACTATCACCTGGAATGTCAATGGCACGGTGAGTGGCCCAGCTTGTCTCCCGGGCTCTTATTCACCCCTATGCAGGCTTTGTTGCCAAGACCGGACATCCTCCCTCCTACCCTGAGCTGCACCTGCTTCCTTGCAGACAAGTCAACAAAACGATTCGCAGAGTATCCTGAGCGTCCTGAATGTCCTGGTGACTCCAGAGCTGTTGGAGACAGGTGCCAAATGTGTGGCTTCCAACTCTGAGGGCGAAAACACTACTGTCATTTTCCTGGAGCTGGGTAAGGACCCTGTCCCGTAGAGTATGGCAGAGGTGTGCCCAGGCAGAGGCATTAACCTGTGCTTTTCCTAACCCACCTCCCAATCTGTTCCTTCCCTCTCATACCAGTCTCCAACACATCCACTGACCTCAGCACCTACACTGTCAGTGCCCACCCCAGAGCCAACAGCACCTCCACAGGTAAGTCAAGAGCAGGGCTGTGCCTGGGTCTCCTCATTCTGCTCCCAGATGAACAGCCTGCCCCTAGGAGGGCAGTGATCACAGCCTGGGGCAGGAATGACTGACTGTCCTTGTGGAACAGAGAAAAAGCTGCCAGAGCCAGAAAGCAAGGGTGTGGTCATCGTGGCTGTGACGGTGTGTGTCCTGGTCCTGGCTGTGCTGGGAGCTGTCCTCTATTTCTTCTACAAGAAGGGCAAGCTGCCTTGTGGGCGGTCAGGCAAGCAAGAGATGTAAGCATGTACCTGGCACCCTGTGCCCACCCCATCTTGTGCTGGCTGGCTCGTCACCTCCTCGGGGACATTGCCCTGCCTGCCCCAGTGCCCGCTTGCCCCCTCGGAGGAAGAGTGGGACCATGGGTCTGAGTGCTCCCTGCTTTACTGCCCACTACACCCAGCTTCCATCAACCACCTCTTCTCCGCCATGGCCTGTTTCACGTTCCTGAGCTGGCCCCTGAACTCCAGTGTCCTTCCTGATGGCCCCTCCTCCCCTTCCCTTGCTCGAGTTGCCAACCTCTTGCCTCCCTCCTCCTCCCAGCACGCTGCCCCCGTCTCGTAAGGGTGAATTTGTAGTGGAAGTTAAGTCAGATAAGCTCCCCGAAGAGATGGGCCTTCTACAGGGCAGCAGCGGTGACAAGAGGGCTCCAGGAGACCAGGTAGGAGGCGGTTCGTGCAGCCAGTGCCTGACACCTCTTCAGGGATTGGGGCTCATGGACTTGTTCCCCCAACACTAACTCTTTCTGTTCTTCATCCTTCTTTGTTGGAGACTGGGAACAGGCCCCATATCTTGCCCTCCTAACACTACTCAGATGGTAGGGCCAGTGGCTGGGACCCTGGAGAGAGGGTAGCTCCCAAGACTGAGCACAAAGGCCCTGTCCCACCACCATCGCCTCCTGAGCAGCGCTGTGGTCACGTCACTAGGTGTGAAGTGGGGGCTGAGTCCTCCTGCCCTGCCTGCCTGTCATACCCACTGGCTTTTCCCCACAAGGCTGCTGCACTTAGTTCATCAGCTTTTGCTTCGGTTGCACCTCTCAGCGCTCACATCCTGACCCCTGACACTGTCTCCACACCCCCCCTTACTTCTCTTCACCCATTTTTAGGGAGAGAAATACATCGATCTGAGGCACTAGCTGGCTGAATCACAGCTCCCTTCCTGCCTGGAACATTTCTTGCTCCCTGCTCACTCTCCTCCCCAGCACTGAGGATGGTTGCCAAAGCCTCTAAAATGGACTAGAGAAGACCTGCTCCAGCTCACCTGCAGACTCCATCTCAGGACAAATGGGCTAGGAAGAGAGCGTCCTCTGCAGGACCTCCCCTGGCCCTGGAGGCCCTTCTTCAGGGACCAACCTATCACCATCCCAATTTCTTGAGTGACACTCATCCCAAGGAAGGGGCCTCAGCGACCCAGGAATGGATAGGAGAGTTGGCTGCAGAACATGTTTCTCTTTTACACACATTATGGATATAAATAACTGTCTTCGACCAGCAGCTGAATTGGGTGGCCTATTTTCTGAGCTGGATTGTGCCCCATAGTCTGGCTTCATAATTCAGTTGTATCACTGAAGTGAAGACACACAAAGCCCAGGCCCCTCTCACTGGTAAAGAATGTTGCTCACACCGATTCTAGAAAGTAGCTCATTAGTATCTAGAAGCAGCTTCCTGCCTGCCTCCAGAATCCCTTACGTGACACTCCTTTCTCCGGGCAGAAGCCAGGAACTAGTGTCATTCCTTAACGGAAATACGGGGCTATTCCATTGTCCTTGCAATGAGGAAGATGGGGTTTTCCAGAATTAAGACTATTCCGTCCAGGCTCCTGATAGCCTCTCAGGGATCATGTGAGGCTGAAAGGTGGGGGTAGGAGACAAGAGATGAGGTCCAGCTTCTCCTTTACGGGGATAAGGGCTATAATTATACTAGTCCCTAACTTCTACAAACTGAGCGAATGGGCCTAGACCCTAGCAAAAGGGGGCCGAGGGCAGAATGGTACTTAGGGATGAGAAACGGGCCTGGCTAGAGCTTGGGGTATGTATGTGTATATGTATCTGCGCGTGCGTATCTATATATATGGTTTTGTTAGGTTGTGTGTAAATTTGCAAATTGTTTCGTGTGTGTGTGTATGCACGTGTGGGGGTGTGTGTGTGTACAATAAAGCTTAATTGTCCCAGAAATCTTGCATTGCTTTTTATTCATCATGGTACCACGTTAGCCTGGGGCCTCTAGAATTGGAGTTGCACCGAAAGGAAAACAAAACGTTTGGTGGTTGGAGTGGGGTGACGGGATTACTTCTACTTTTGAGCAAACAGCTCCAGCTCTAGCTGAGGGCTATAGTCACCCTAATCAGCAAAGCAGCCCTGCTCCAGCAGCCCGCGGGGCCTAGCAGGCTGACAGGAAGCTGTAGCCCTTTTTCATTGTCTTCTGGACACTCAGGTGCCCCGGAAGTAGCAGCACGACTTAGGAATGAAGATGGGCCTCAGCACTTGGTCCTGGAGCTACCCTGTGTTTTACCTCCTACCACGGATGAGCAAGAACTCAGGTCTTGCTACAACAAAAGAAACTTTATTTAAAAATATTTTTTTTTTTACAGACAGGTGCTTGAAAAAGCTCTTTAGTTAATTGTGTATGGAAATGAAAAAAATTAATAAATAACATTAGTATAACAGACCTCTAAACATAATACATTGGCAAAAACAAACTGGATTTAAAATGAAAATGAATCTTAAAGCTCTGCTATTCTCTGTAAGAATATTTACCTTCTGTTTTTTCTTATTCTTTACAGGTGAGAATGATTAAATACTGCTATTATAAATTTTTTTTATATTAATGACACATTTTTAAAATAGCCCACAAAAATTCACCTAAGTTTTCATTTTGTTTTATTTTTAACACTGATATACAAATTGGGATTCTTCATTTTGCAGAAAGCATCAAGTTCTCTCCAGCCCCACCTAGGCCAAGAAGGTCAAAATCCTGAATAAGGAGAACTTTAAAAAGCATGATTTTCTATCTCCCTATTCTATATTAGTTAAAAAGCAGGGGGAAAATGAGAAAAGTAAAAGAAATAAGTAAAACATCATTACATAGAAAACTTTTTTTCACCATAACCGAGAGTGGCCACAATACCAAAGACAGGCTTCTGGTACATGGTCCTTGCGGCTTTTTCCAAGAAAAAACTAGACCCTGGAAGAGGGAACTAGCTGCTTAATGCTTTAAGACCAAAATTTTCTAAGGAAAGGAAGCCACGTGTGAAGAGAGAGGCAGGAGAGTTAGGTCAGTTCAGGATCCAGCACAGAGAAAAGACAACCCCTTACTCAAGAAGAGTCCATTCTATACTTTCCCATGCAGTTGGGTCATTAATAGGACCAGAAGCTGGGACACTTGAAATGTCTGGAGTGTACCTGGAAATCATGGAACATTGTGTCTCCTTGCGGGAGAAAGGTCATTCAACCTGTAAGTGAGATTCCAATTGGAACCAGCTAAACGAGCGCAGGGTACAATGCTTATTTCCTCCAACGAGAATTCGGCAGGGAGAGACCACCAACAGGCTGCCCCCGGCTGCCATCTCTCCAGTCACACTTCCTCTTCCCTAGACTGTAGAGAAGACTGACACCCAAGGTAGAGGAGCTAAGACTCTGGTATTTCCATATTAAGTCCTAAAATGCAGCCTGAGATACAGTGCTGCCTTAGAAAGGCACAAAATGTTTGGCTTTTTTTTTCTTCAATGTGCTAAAAATTGTTGTTTTGAATAAAGGAAAAAAGATATGTAAGGTTAAAAATCCCAAGTCACCACAGTCAGATAGCAGATGTAGGGGGTACCTCTTGGCTGCCATGTCCCTACCACATGTTTCAGCAGGAGGTCAAGGTCAAAACACTAAAACAATGCCAAGGGTAGGTCAAGGGACATCCACTCTCCTGGGCATTGTGCCTGCAGACTTACCCAGACAGCAAAAGGAAGAAGCCAAGGAAGAGAAAACACATGGTCTACAGACTCATAAGTAGTTTACCTCTTCAGTTTCAAGACAGTCAGAAAGCATGGCTACCCTCACCTATAACAGGTCAGAGATGGGTGGGGGCGGGCGGGAAATGATATCTAGGGCACATTAACACATATGTAAGAGTGCCAGGCATGGGCACACACTCCACTCCACTCTAGGGCCTGAGCATAGAAGCAGTGTGAGGCTGGAGGAGTTGTGTAGAGCATGGATTGAACAATACTCTCTGCCCTCCAAATCTGGTTTAGGAATGGAAGGAGAACTTGAGAGAGGCAATGGGAAAAGTGCCTCTCAAAGTCATTTTGGGGGCTGAATCAAGAATATGGGGCCTAGCAATCAGAACTCCGCCTATTTGTTAGGGTGTCAAATCAGTAGGAGATCTGAGGTTGGCTCTGAAATTTTGCTCTGTACAAATACAAGGAGTGATCAACCAGATTTTTTTCAAGCACTGTATGAGGGAAGGGGCAGTAAGATCTCCAAACAGCTGTTAGTCTGTTAGTCAACAGCTGGCCCCTCAGCAAGACACTTTCCATCTGACTATGAACGCTCCTCTAAACAAAGCTCTCTGCTCCTCCCTGACCCTACTGCCGCATCCCTTACTCTTGTGCTACTTTCCAGAATCAAGAAAACACTGGTACTCCCTTTGGAAAGCAAACTCAGATTTCCCAGGACATTGAAGGCACATGGCATGCTGTCCCTCTGCTACTTGATACTGGAACCTAGATTAGAAAATCAAAGCGAGGTCTGACAATTCACCCTTCCTCAAGTGCCTCAATGTGTATCTTTGGATTAGGTTTTTTCCTGGGTCTATCATATGACTCCAGTAGTTGACAAAGTTTTAAGTGATTATGAAAGGCCTTAATAACTCAGGGCAGGCTCTAGGATGAGATAAAAATAAAAAAGTTCAGGCCAGCAGATGCATAATTTTAAAAATCAAAAGATAAAGTCTTTATATATAGGACTACAAAGAAGGTAACTGGACTGGGAAGGGCAGCCTGTCTAAAGAGCGCTCAGGAAAGACTCCGACACTGGCATCAACATCTAATTTACATCCTGGCAAACATCCCAACTATTACACATTCTTACTGCCTACAGCAAAGTACTTTCTTAGGCATCTAGGAAGGCTCGCCTAAGAATATCATTGCAGAGCTCCCCTCATACAGGAAGGACCAAACGAAAGGGTGAGGAGGAGGGCGCAGTGGAACACAGGTCATGGGCCACAGGATAAATATATTTTCAGTGCTAGAATCTGACAAGAGCCCAGAAGTCCATGGGTGGTGGCTACAGTGTGATTCGTGATTTGTGATCTACTCTCTAAATGATGTGAAAGAAGGTTAAAAACCTGAGAATGAATGAAAGCTAAGAAACGCCACCTAAGAACAGACTAGCTCTAAGATAAGGGAAACTGATCCTAGCGAGGGAGGTAAGAAATCTTGGATGCTGAGACTGAGAAAGGGACAAAAAAGAACGAAACAAAGAAAGGAAGTAACCTGAATTAAGAATTCCTTTGCTAGTCCAGAAATGGCCCCATGCCTGCCTTTCTACTCTCAAAGAAGCAGTACGATAGCAGTTTTACTACTCAAGTATTTTTGGGGTAGCTATATAGTCTATACCCTCTTCTGTGGGCCCACTCTACTCCCACCTGTTGTCCATGTGGTAAGGTCAACCGCTCGGGGCAGATACCTGACTGACGGGCTGGACTGCTCGATTCTTTCTGGAAGATATGAACCAAGAAGCACTGGGAATCTGTTAGTAGTGAACCCTAGAACTGGAGGGTATGTGAACTTGAGGGTTAGGTTTAGGGTTAGGGTTGGGGTCATGCATGCTGATAAACAGATTGACAAGCAGGAGAAAGGATTTGGGGCAAAGCTTTACAGTTCTAGCTCAGTTCTACTTATCACAGGTTCTATGAAATACCCTGCATCCTTACAACTCCCTCCTTTCATTAGATTGAATACTTCTCTTTCATCCAAATGATTCCTAAACAAGACAGTTAAAGATGCAACCTAGAACTTCTTCAAGTATACACCTACCCCCATTTTATTAAATGACTTTACACATGCCTAAAGAAAGACTGCTAACATAGATTGGGGACAAAGTAGTGACAGTTATGTTATAAACTGATACTTGAGATGGAATTTCTAAAGCTTAAAAGTCTAGAAAAATGATGATGTGTTAATTTTGACACTGCCTGTTAGCTCTCTAAGTCTCTTAATCCAGGAGCTACAGACTGACCTTTCTGAGCTCAATCTGTTTTAGGGAGACCCAAACAACTGGTTGAAGATCAGGACCCAAAGATAGGTCCCATCCCTGTCCCACACCTTAATCCCTTCTAAGACACAGGGTCAGCTGCAAAGGTTGTTGAAGGACTGGAAAACAAGTTTCAAATAGAATGGGAGATGGTGACAGATCTGGAAATGTGAAAAGGAAACTTCCCGACATGGAGGACTAGAGACACAGCAGCTCAGTAAAAAGATCAAGGAAGGCACTAGATTGGGAAGGAAGCCTGTGGACTAAACACATGATTTGCTAAGCATTTGCTTAAACATTTAATTGTCCTATTGCACAACTCTGAACCAATATACCCCTTATCCAACCAAACAGATTCCACTGAAATAAGTAAAAATGATGGGTACCCATGAGACTGACACTGAGTTACCTCTACTGAGACATTATCAAAGTGACAGGAAGACAATAAAAGTTCATCAGAGACTCTCGAGCTGATTTTAACTGGAACAGCTCCATAAGGAAATACACATCTTCATAAAAGAACTGTGAATAAAAATTGCAGTCTTACTGGGAAGGGGTACTTTAGGGCCAAATGCAAGTGCTGGACAGCCCACAGCTAATCCCCAGCATCAGTAAATCACCATGTGGTAGCAGGAAAAAACACAAAGGTAACACTTCTGGCACATGGTCATCTCTTACAAACATCTGCTGAATGAACAAATGAACTGTGACAGGCAGACCAATGGTTCAGATACCATTGTTCTTTGGGCAGTGGTCATTTCTGAGTCAGAAAGGCCAACGGCAAGAAGGGGGATTTATAGTTTGGGAAGGTCTATGACCCTCTGACTTTCATTATGTGAGGTAGGAGAATACTCGGCATTAACACCATTGCTGATCACATACAAAAAGGTCTAGATCTTGTTAATGGTGTCTTAAAGGGTATATATAGTTGGTCCTTAATCTGCAAGCAAATTTACAAAAATTCATTAGTAAGTTTGCTATTTGGACCATAAAATATATCTTAATTTTCTATAGAGGAAATAAATACTTTAAGTATGAAGAATAACACCCCCCTCCCCAATATATTTTTAATCCACAAAACAGCTAACTGATACTAATAGAACTATGCCACATCCTGGGCCTGACATTGAGAGTCTGTGTAAGAAGAGAAAGAAGAGTTGAATATATAGAACACGGTTGGGCGAGAGAATGGCCAGCCACAGGTATATATCACTATTTACACAGATATTAACAAATAAATGCTGGGACGATAAACTGTCCAATTTATTATTTGTGTAAAGGGAGGCAAAGAGCCCACAGGTTTTTCCACCATAATCCACACTCTACTTGAATGGAAGGAATATTGGAGGGGCTACTGACTACCTATTGCAAAGCAGCCATCCAGTAACCAGACAGGCTATGTAGAGAGACTTGGGAAGACATAGGGAAAGCAGGGGAGAGTGGTCTGAACGACTAGCCTGATGCACATCAAAGTTGCTTTTACCTTATCCACCTGACAGCTGGCAGAGGAGTTACCATTTGCACCTAGGAGGTGGAAAGGGGATGAATTTGTCAAAAATGGCAAAACGCTAAGCCAGCTTGGGGAAAGGATAATTTTTGTCAAATTCAGAGCAGAGCCGAAGAATTTAAAAGTTGCCTTACAAATGGAGGATGATGGTCGTGTTACTGGTTCTTAGTCAAATGAAATTTTAAGAAATTAAAGTTTTGGAAATATCCTCAAAGCAAGAGGATGTAAAAACCTTCCTGAGGTTCACCTGCCAATCTCAAGCATGAACCCAGGCCCCCCCTCAGAGTGCCCAACAAGAAAAGCCCCATATAATGGTCTAAAACCTTGAATGCCTGCAGACCCATAGCTAACGATGGGCAAGTCGACCAATGGTGCACAAGTTCAACACAGGGCCCTGAAACCCCAGTGTCAGAGCTGACTCAAACTGTCACACAGGTCTTCAGTTAGAAAAAGAAAGGATGAACCTGCTCTTAGTCTATATAAGCTAGGACATAATCTCCAAAGAAGAGAATTTTGGAGGCACTGGAAAGGCAAAAGATAAGAAGAACCAGGGCTTTGCTCTCTTAATAGCTCCATAAGATTTGATTGCCCATAGATAGACTATAGGCAGTAGCTACAGAAAAGGGGAAATTTCAGCACAAGCAGGAATGAAAACTGTTGCTATTTTTCCTATTCTTTGTTGGGGCCTTCAACATTTAAAAAAAAAAAACAACCTCACAACCAAATGTTACCACAGACACAATACTATTCTGGCTTTTACAAGGAGATGCTCGCTTGTTTCCAACTCACTGCCACTTTCCCTGCTCTTTCATTCCCATTAAGACTTCCCACAGCTGTTGCCATGTAGAAGAGACACTACAGGGCAACCACAACAACTCAATAAGAAGTCCAGTGCTATCTACTAGGTCAAGGTAAATGGCTCTGAGCCAAGAGGAGAAAGCCAAAAGATCCAAGAGGAACTAAAGTCAAGAGTGAGAAAACATTTTAGCTCCAAAGATGACAAGGTGGGAGAGAAACAGATATAAAGGAATCATTTCTACCTGGATCTAAAGAGAAAAGCCCAATTTAGATTTCCAGGAGAGCAGATTTATCAAAGAACAGGCTAGCTTGCTTCTGAGGAGGATAGTTACATACTCCCAGGGAAATCAGCAAAGACTCAAGGGCTCAGGTAGCAGCTACAGGAACTGACTAATGGTGCTGCACACGTGACTCTGGTTTTTCCTTTGAACCTGCAATTACACAAACTGCTGGGTTTTACACATATTGGCTCTGACTATGGTAAAATCATCATACCAAGTGATGTCTAATAACCAGGGAAAACGCAATCATTAAAGAGTACATAGACCTAAGGTGGAGAAGAAAGGGGAAGGAAAGGGGGAAGGAGATGTTACATTCCCAAAGCCACAGGCACAAGAGAAGCCAAGTCACCAGGTGGCACCAATGTAGGAAAGGTGCCCATTATCAGCAAAATGCTGTGCTATCACCACCGTGGGTAGTATCCCCAATTCCTTAAAGAAAAAAATTGACTCTGAACTTATAAACTGGCTCAAGTTCAAAGGGAGACATCCATATAAGCTGAAATTAATGAGTCATTGGGAAGAAAAACTGAAGAGATTAATTTTTATCGTCTACTTGTGCATGTTTTTGTGTAACAAGGTAAAGAGCATGTGAATAAAGCTTCATAAAAGCTTCATGATATTAGGGTGAGAAAGCCATGCTGGAAACAAAAGTTCTTTCCTTCCCCATTAAGTAGAAAAACTCAAGACCTACATCAGAACACATACCTGGCACCAAGGCAACGGACTCCCACAGACTCTTTTCTGGGGAGGGCATGGAATGTATTTGAAGGCCTCTATCTCAAATCAGTCATTACATAATTAGGATAATTAAAACATCTTAGTTTAACAGATTCAATGTTCCTATAGAAACAGTGCTTTGGAGTGACCAGTGTTAGCTGCTAGTATCAAACATGACGATAATGATATAACAACAGTACTTTTTTCCCCACCTATCTACCAAACAAACCAACACATCACACATAATAAAAGAACATCCTATAAGCCACTTGGCTTCAATCAGGCTGGTCACAGCAAGCCCACTGCCAATGACGGACACCAAGGAGGAGGAGGAAATAGGGGAAAGGAGAGAGGGAGGGTGTTCTAAAAATACAAGACTTTAGCTATGCACATGATAATCCAAGCCAAAGGGGAGTGTTGATGCTGTAATACACATTGGGGTTGAGTATAATACCACAGTAGATGGAAGTCTTTAAAAGATTCCTTTCTAAACCTCTTGTGCTAATTCCCTGTGTGGGATTAACACAGACAGCAGGTTAATCTTATAATCACAGGACACACACAAAGACAGACACAGACACACACACACACACAGACACACACACACACACACACCCTTCCATAACCCAGGAAAGTCTAAGTCCTTAATTAGGATCTACAGCACAATACTTCTACTGCTGCTTTCTGGACTGTTCCCCAGGTAGGTTACCATTAAATAAAAATCCACACTCTCTCAAGTGGGGACTGAAGGACACCTGCAAATGTACTCTCAAAACAAGTAAGATAATAAAACACACTAGCTGCTCCATTTTCTTTCCACTGCTTTGAAATCTTGGAACCACAGGCGTGATATCTCACAGGTAGGGCAAGACTTCATTGTCAAGTCTCCATGGAACCTCTGCCCTTTTAGGTGCTACTGGAGTAGGAGCTCTCGGCTCATTGGTCCTCTAAAGCTGCAAAAGGGAGGTAATGTGCTAGGTGGCTACATGAGCAGGAGAAGAAATAGAAACAAATTCTCGGAGGATATTTTTGGCCATTTCAATGTTGTTGTGGGCAATGACCAAAGCTTTCTGAATGTCCTGGTAGGAATATCCCTGACTCATGAGCTTCTCAATCTCACTGGAAAGCTGTGGTGAGGCGGAGGCAGCAGCAGCGGTGGAGGAAGCAGCACCACCTTGCTGACAGCTACCTGCTTTTCGTTCAGAGTTGATTCTCCGAGGGAATGGTTTGGGAGGTCTCTCAGGAACTTGAGAACCCTCCGTGAAGTCTAGAAGAAATCAGAAAGAATGTATTTGCAAATCTGGAAGGGAATCCTCATTCATGTCAGCAATAACAACAATGTACTATCAAGACTATCGCTGATCTACACTGTAAGTTGGGTACATGTGCTCCTCGGTCACAGGGCTGGTTCTATGGGTTTAATTTTAGTGTATAGTCTCCTTTCTATCACAGCAGGGGCAATCTTCTAAATATACCATGCACCTGTTCTACTAACACCAACCAATGCTGTCATAGGCACGGAACATCTGCATTTATATCATACTTTACACTTAGTAACAGGTTTCGCACACATTATTGCCTAGATTATTTTTTTAAAATTTTGAGAGGGCTACACCAGACATTGAATGTCTCCTTTTAACAAGTAAGTAAACAGAAAGAGGCCTAAATTGTAGTGAAAAAGCATTAAACAAGGCTGCGTGGGTAAGGATGGGTGCTTATTTGGGTAACTGGAGGCTGTGTATCTTTTTCACCAGCTGTCCTGAAGGCTGTCTTTAATTTTCATGTGACAGTAACTCTGGCTGTTGCCCTCCCCAGGAGCCACAGGTGCAAGAAGAGCAGCCCAAATGGAGGCTGGCTCCAGGCCAATCTGGTGTGCTCTCCAGACCAGCATGCATCCCTGGCAATGGGGTAGGCCCAGAAGTCAGGAATTAAGGTCTGAACCATCAATACTGTCACTGCTACAAACGCACTCTGAGGAGCCAGAAGTCTCTTCTACCACAGCATAAGAGAAGACAGGATTTAAGAAACAATCTCATTTCTAAGTCTGACAAAATCCTGAAGAGTCTGACTATGTTTAACTTCCTAATTTGGGAACTAAGACCAGTTTCTTCCCATTTAGACATAATTTTTATTCTACTACTTCTACTTACTGACTTACCATTACCATGTAGTCGTCTCTATTTTAGTATAAATTAGGAGCCACATAGCAATTCACTATAAACCCAAGGTAGCCTGGAGACTCACTTGTTGTGGAATCACCATCCAGAGACAACCAGCCAAAGGAGGAGCTGGCATTAGAGATATCTGAGAGAGTTCGGCGGGCCAGCACTGCTGGCACAGGTGGCTTGGGGACATCATACCCATCGTCCTCATTTTCTGATTCCTCAGGACCAGTGTTGGCATGAGTTGCAGGCAAATTCCCTTCACCTAGAGAAAAACTTGTGCGGTTATTTTCTTCTTCTAAAATACTTCATCTTCTAACACATCTCAGTATAAGGACATTGGGTCACTCGTGCATGTACAGACCCAGTTCCTGAATGTCTACTACAGGCCAAATACCATGTGAGGCCCTGTGGGCACAGATAAAAGAAATAGAGAAAATAAGATCTGCACCAATCCTGCAAGCTCTATTTTTTGAGCATGTCAAAAACTACCCTGGCCAAGGTTAATAGCCGTGGGTGCCAAAGACTCAAGAGTCAATTCACAGCATTCATTCAACATTTTTATCTGCAGTTCACCTTGGACGGTCAGCCAAAGGGCCCTGTGCATGCTGCCTCCTTGACCTTTCACCTTGGTAAGCTAGTTAACATGGGAACTGGGTACTCACCACCCACATACAAAAGAATTTCATCAATGCTAAAAAGGAACAGGAATAAAAAGGAGCTGTCAGTATTGCAGGTTCAGGCCATATAACAAAAATGTCTCCAAGCCTTAGAGGATAAAAAAGCCCAAAAGGAACTAGCTCTGTGACCATAAATGACTGTAAATAAGAGGAGAGGGTTTTATTGCGAATGGATCAAAGATATTTTGGGGGGAAATAGAAAAGACATCTACTTAAATAAAACTAATAATAAAGGTTCAGTCCTTGGGCACAACATTGATTTTTAAAGTAGAATCTCTACTTACCAAAGGTGCCACTCTCTGTGACTGATGGGGCAGCCTGAGACTGAATATTATACATTGCTTCATATGTACAGCTATCAATCTGCTGGTCACAATCACACGCTCTGAACCGGAAGGAAAGGAACAATAATTTTCAGAAATAGAACTATTATTTGCAAACTTAATAAGATTCATCTATTCACAATCACTCCAGATCCTGGTTCTATCAAGATAACACATTCTGGGGCCTCCCTGGTGGTGCAAGGGCTTAAGCATCAGCACTATGAAGCAATCCGCAGCTACAGCAGCATGAGTTCGATCCTGGCCAGGGAGATGATCCACATGGCACAGTAGGACTCTCCACTTTCGCCTGCTACTCCCCTCAGCAGTATATTTCAGTCAATCTGCCTGTTCTGTTCCCCACTCTGTCTCTGGTGAATACTCTCACCCCCCCACCCCTGCACCTCTGGCCTATACCCAGTCTTGTATGCAAAAATAAATAAATCTTTAAAAAAAACATAACACATTCTTTTTTTACTATTATCATTAATAAATATTGTAAGACTGACTTTAACAAATAATAGATGTGTATATTTATGAGAGTACTGTGATACTGAGGAAACATGTGGAATTGCTTACAGCTATAAGAGGCTTAAACATTAAGAGATAGATAGATCTGCTCTAATTATGGCTGGATAATCCCAAATGCAGGCAGTAAGCCAAGTACAAATGCTGTTAACTAAATTCCAAAATAGGGTTGTTGTGAACCTACCGTGAACCCTGGTTTGCCTCCAAAGGTTTTTGAAGCCCTACAGGCCTAGAGGAGGGAGTCATATACTCTGTGTCTTCCTCACTTTCACACTGCTCCCCGGGTGGCAGCTTTGGCACAGGAAGGGGCCTGGAAGGTGAGTAATAAAATGAAAGACAGTGAAAATAGAAACAATTAACAAGCTGGAAAACCCTCCAGTATGTGGTTTCAAAACAGAGCACAACTAGAAAAAGAGAGAGCAAAATATATGCCACCAAGGGAACCATTGTTACCCCTGGTCAAGATAAGTAAAATATTAAAAACACACTAACCTATAATTTCACTTTCCACCTGAGAAAATTATTACACTGTTATTAGTATACAGGGCTAATACCAATTTGTCCCAGTCTAAGTGCTGGTATGCCAGTTTATTCTTTCCTAGGCACAAAACCAGAAAAAGCAGGTGTCTTTCTGACAATATGCTAGGAATGTATACCAAATCCCTGTTCTAAAAACTACCTGTAGTTTTCAAAGAATATACAAATTGTCAAAAGCTTTTTGATAAACTATCTCATAGTATAAATACTTTTTCTCCTTGTTTTATAATAAATAAAAAGTGATAAAGTATCTTAGTAGTTAGCATTTAATCTGGGACTACATCCCAGATCTTCTGACTCCTGCTTCGGGAAGCTTGCCATTACACTCACACATAACTCTCACTGAGAAGATTTTGAAATAAAACTTCTGCCACCTCACCTCACCCCCTTGAAACTAGACAAAGATAAAAACCAAAAACCAAAAAAAACACCCCAACCACCACAAAACCAAAAATCCAAACAAAAATCCCAATTATATAAAAAACATGCTGCGAACTGAGTTTGATTATCAGCCAGGGAGCTAATCGACGTGGCACAGCAGACCTCTCCTGGCTCGCCCGCTGCTCCCCTCAGCAGTGTATTTCAGTAAATCTGCCTGTTCTACTCCCTGCTCTGTCTCTGGTGAATCCTCCCACTCCCACCCCCACACCTCTGGCCTATACCTCAGTTCTTCTATGCAAACAAACAAAAATTATACAAAAGGAAACACATATACACAAATCTGCTTCTGGAAATGTAAGTTACTAAGTATTTCTCCTTCTTATACTTTTTTGGATATTCTAATGTTCAATTTTTCCTAATTATAAATTCAGTTGCTGCTTTTCATAAAACACAAATGCTTCAGGAATCTAACACAGAGTAACAGTACCCTATAACCTCACCTGAGATTTTTTTCTTTTTTTTTTTAACAGATTCCTTTTTTTTTTTTTTTTAAGATTTATTTATTTATTTATACAAGCACTGGGTACAGTCAGAAGCGCGGGAGGGTGAGAGAATTCACCAGAGCCAGAGCGGGGAGCAGAGCAGGCAGACTGAAGTACACTGCTGAGGGGAGCAGCAGGCGGCAGAAGAGGTCTGTGCGCCATGTGGGACCCTCCTCCAGTGGCCAGGGAGCAGCCGAGGATCGAACCGGCGCTGCAGAGGCTGCGGGCAGCTTCGCAACCCAGCGCTCAACCGCTGCGCCACCGGGGAGGCCCTGAGATTTTTTCCTTAATGTATACATAATACTCTTATTTGTAGATAGCATGCTGAAATTCTGAGATGAAAGTGTACTGGTATCTACAGTATGCTTTGAAATGTATCAGATGTAACACAGACTGATGGATGCAGAGGTAGAAGGGAAAGATGGATGGATGGATAGAGAAAATGTGTGATAAAACAACTATAATAAAGTGTTAATAACAGAAACCATGTGGTAAGTATATGGATGTTCACTGTAAAATTCTTTTACCTTTACATTAGTGGGAAAACAACTCATAAAAGATTAAGAAAAAATACCAAGTATGGTAAAGATGTAGCTAAATGAGTACTTTCCTCCATAGTTGGAGAAATAAAATATTTGCATGTTTCTAGAGTATAATTCAGCAGAAGTATTTAACTAAAATAAACATGTACACCTTTGGACTTAGAAATTTTATTTCTAAGAATTTTACCTCACAATGTAGCTATAGAGTAGTAAAAAAATAGGCAACAACCTGTCAAATAATATTGCATTAAATAAATATATTCTGAATTACACATACAGCAATGTACTTCAGGTCAACTGTGTCCCTCATTACCCTAGAGATTCCAAGCAGGAATCTTGGAGGCCTATTTCTGCTTCTATCATAATAAGCCTGGTCTTACTTATTTTACCAACTGAGGTTCCACTTAAATCAGTTATATTCTTTTGCAGTCATCTGAAAATCATTGTAGTAGAATATATAATGACATCCTAAGATATTTAACATATTTCTAGTGAAAAACAATAAACAGTACATGATTCATACATGCAAGAATGCGAATAAACGGGCCTCCCCCGGTGGTGCAGCAGGTTGAGCGCAGTGCTGTGAAGCTGCTGCAGCCTCTGCAGCACGGGTTTGATTCCCGGCCGGCCAGGGAGATACCCACATGGCACGGCAGACCTCTCCTGCCTTACCTGCTGCTCCCCTCAGCAGTGTCTTCTGTCTGTCTACCTGTTCTGCTCCCCACTCTGTCTCCAGTGAATGCTCTCACCCTCCATGCCTCTGAATGTACCCCAGTTCTTGTATAAATAAAAATAAATCTTTAAAAAAAATGCCAATAAACATATATCAAATTGCTAACTGATTCTCAATAAAGATTATGAATAGAAACTTTTATTTCTTTAGTGTTGCAGTATTATTTTCTTTTCTTTAATGTAGAAGAACTGGGCTATAGGTCATAGGTGTGGGGGTGCGAGGATTCACCAGAGAAAGAGTGGGGAGCAGAACAGGTGGATCCACTGAAATACACTGCTGAGGGGGGCAGTGGGCGAGACAGGAAAGGTCTGCTGTGCCATATGTGGGTTAGCTCCCTGCCCGGGGATCAAACTCAGGCCACAGAGGTGATAGTGCTGAGACTTAACCCCTAGGCCACGAGGGAGGGCCTACAGTATTATTTTCATAAAGAGAAAAACATCATTAAAAGTGCAATCAGGGGCCTCCCCGGTGGCGCAGCGGTTGAGCGCTGGGTTGCGAAGCTGCCCGCGGCCTCTGCGGCTCCGGTTCGATCCCCGGCTGCTCCCCGGCCACCGGAGGAGGATCCCACATGGCGCGCAGACCTCTCCTGCCGCCCACTGCTCCCCTCAGCAGTGTACTTCGGTCCTTCTGCCTGCTCTGCTCCCCGCTCTGGCTCTGGTGAATTCTCTCACCCTCCCGCGCTTCTGACTGTACCCAGTGCATGTATAAACAAAACAAACAAATAAATAAAAACATGCCTCTATTAAAAAAAAAAAAGTGCAATCAAAAAATTCCAATTCTAATTTCTTGTGTTGTATTAATATGTAAGATTGCACTACTTTCTCATAAAGCATTTTGACAATACAACTATAAAACCAGGGCCTCCCCTGGTGGCACAGGCGGTTGAGCGCAGCACTGTGAAACTGTCTGCAGTCTCTGCAGAGCTGGTTCGATCCTGGCCAGCGAGGGTCCCACACGGCGCGGCAGACCTCTCCTGTCTCACCCGCTGCTCCCCTCAGCAGTGTATTTCATCAGTCTGCCTGTTCTGTTCCCCACTCTGTCTCTGGTGAATCCTCTCACCCTCCCGCAAATCTGGCCTGTATCCTGGTTCTTCTATGGATAAATAAATATAAAAAACAAAACAAAACTATAAAACCAAAGCAAATTTATTATAGTAAAAGCTTTAAACTAAATAAATATCCAACAATAGGGTAATGGCTAAATATTTGGTATTATAGCCCTGTTATATACTATGTAACTGTAAAAGTAAGGATTTTGAAGAACTTTTTAAATGATAGCAAATGTCCAAGACATAATTTTAAGTTTTAAAAAGGGGCAATATAAAACTGTACCTTGATCTAAAATACATATTTTACATTTCTGCAGCCTTTGCCCAAGTATTATCTAAGCCTCTGCTTACAACAGCTACATAAACAGTATAAAATACCAAGGAAAGAAGGCATTTGAGAACCATTGGCAACAGTCAAGAATTTAGAGGCCAAGATTCTGGAGAGAATACACTGAAATAAATCCCATTAGGGGTTTCTAATTAAGGGCTTGATGAAGTTTTCTAAAGATATCAATAGGGTGGGAAGAGAAGGACTGGAATTTCAGGGTACTATGAAGGCCAGGATATGTGGAGCCAAAAATCCTCGAGAAGGGAACAGCAGAGAAGTAGGTTTGAAATTCTGCCTGTAATTTTCCTCGGAAGTTACTGCTAATCTCTACCTGTGTAAGCATGGGACTGGATTCTGAGAAACCATATAGTAAGCAGCAGTGAAGAGCTGCACAAATACTTTAGTTGTCTTGCCAAAATGGAGAGACAAAGTTGAAGTAGATGAGGCTTTAAACGAATTACAATTCATATTTTTGATTTTTAAAAAAAGATGGACAGGGCCTCCCCGGTGGCACAGCGGTTGAGCGTTGGGTTGTGAAGCTGCCCGCAGCCTCTGCAGTGCCGGTTCGATCCCCGGCTGCTCCCCGGCCACCGGAGGAGGGTCCCACATGGCGCGCAGACCTCTCCTGCCGCCCGCTGCTCCCCTCAGCAGTGTACTTCGGTCCTTCTGCCTGCTCTGCTCCCTGCTCTGGCTCTGGTGAATTCTCTCACCCTCCCGCACTTCTGACTGTACCCAGTGCTTGTATAAATAAATAAATAAATAAATCTTTTTTAAAAAAAAAAAAAAGATGGACAATCTTATGAGAAAACTAGAATCAACAAATTCTTAAATTCAAAAGGAAATTCCAGAATCCAAAAACACAGTATCTGAAAATGAAAAATCAATAGATGGGTTTAGCGCAGATTAGAAATGGCAAAAGAAAAGAACTTAATACAGACAGTACAGACAGGAAAAATTAAATCTTTTTATAATACCACATCCAATAAAACATGTAAATTAGTCTAGAAAACCAACAACAATCAGCCATTTAAAATTACTATGATTTTAATTTGAGAACATCAGTTTCATAGCACTGATTTTAAATCTTTTTTTTTTTTTTTTACAGAGGCATATTTTATTTATTTATTTTATTTGTTTGTTTGTTTTGTTTATACATGCACTGGGTACAGTCAGAAGCACGGGAGGGTGAGAGAATTCACCAGAGCCAGAGCGGGGAGCAGAGCAGGCAGAAGGACCGAAGTACACTGCTGAGGGGAGCAGTGGGCGGCAGGAGAGGTCTGTGCGCCATGTGGGACCCTCCTCCGTGGAGCAGCCGGGGATCGAACTGGCGCCGCAGAGGCCGCGGGCAGCTTCGCAACCCAGCACTCAACCGCTGCGCCACCGGGGAGGCCCTAAATCTTTTTTTTTTTTTTTTTTTTTTTTTTAATACAAGCACTGGGTACAGTCAGAAACGATGGAGGGTGAGAGAATTCACCAGAGCCAGAGCGGGGAACAGAACATGCAGACTGATGAAGTACACTGCTAAGGGGAACAGTGGGCGGCAGGAGAAGTCTGCGCACCATGTGGGACCCTCCTCCGGTGACCGGGGAGCAGCCAGGGATCGAGCTGGCGCTGCAGAGGCTGCAGGCAGCTTCACAACCCAGTGCTCAACCGCTGTGCCACCGGGGAGGCCCTGATTTTAAATCTTTAAAAGGGCCTACCTGGTGGCCTATAGGTTAAGTCTTAGAGCTATCACCCCTACAGCCTAATTTCCATCCCCATCCAGGGAGCTAACCCACATAAAGCACAGCAGACCTCTCCTGTCTTGCCCACTGCTCCCCTTCTTAGCAGTGTATTTCAGTAAATCTGCCTTTTCTGCTCCCCACTCTGTCTCTGGTGAATCCACTCATCCTCCTTGCACCTCTGGCCTACACCCCAGATCTACATTTTAAAAAAAAAAGAGAGAGAAAGAGAATTAAATCTTTAAAAAAAATTTAAATTCATTTACTTTTATTTATTTATTTATTTTTAAAGATTTATTTTTATTTTATTTTATTTATTTATTTATACAAGCACTGGGCACAGTCAGAAGCATGGGAGGGCGAGAGAATTCACCAGAGCCAGAGCGGGGAACAGAACAGGCAGAAGGACCGAAGTACACTGCTGAGGGGAGCAGCGGGCGGCAGGAGAGGTCTGCGCGCCATGTGGGACCCTCTCCTCCAGTGGCCGGGGAGCAGCCGGGGATTGAACCGGCACTGCAGAGGCTGCGGGCAGCTTCGCAACCCAGCGCTCAACCGCTGCGCCACCAGGGAGGCCCAAATTCATTTACTTTTAATAGATTCTTTTTCACAAGTGAAATTTTATACATGTGTTCGTATACCTATCTGTTTAGTTTGGGTGTATTTCTATAGTGTTTTGTAAGAAATAAGGTTTGAGCACTTGAAAAAAAAAGGAAAGACAGTAAAAGGAAAGAGAAACACAGAAATGAGCAAAAGAACTATACTGAAAGGTCTAACATTTAGGTAACAGGATTTACAGGAGAGTCTATTTTAGTGGCCAAAATTTTCTAACAAGTAGTAGCAGGTAAATTCCTAAAACTGATTTAGAACATCAAACTATGAATTCAATAAGCTCTACAAAACCTTAATTATACACACATATTTTAGTTGTTTTCTTTTTAAAGATTTATTTATTTATTCATACAAGCACTGGATACAGTCAGAAGCACGGGAGGGTGAAGAATTCACCAAAGCCAGAGCGGGGAACAGAACAGGCAGAGTGATGAAATACATTGCTGAGGGGAGCAGCAGGTGCGGCAGGAGAGGTTTGTCGCGCCATGTGGGACCCTTGCCTGTTGCCGGGGATCGAACCGGCATTGCAGAGGCTGCGGGCAGCTTTGCAGCCCAGCACTCAACCACTGCGCCACCAGGGGAGGCCCACATATTTTAGTTTTACATCTGTAACTATGAAGAAAAGGAACACTATAGTAAAACTGCTGGATTTCAAAGACAAAGAGCCTAAGAAATATCACTTTTAAAAGAGCAACACTAATCCTGTGTTAATTTCTCAATAGAAACAATGGAAGCCAGAGGGCAGTAATATTTTTTATGTGCTGAAACAAAATAACTCTACTTTAGAATACTATACTGAGTGAAAATACCTTTAAAAAAATTAAAGTTAAATAAAAGATATTTTCAGTCAAATAAAGTTTGGGATTTTAAGAGTACTGGAACAACTGCATGCCTTCCCTCCCACCAAAAAGGATAACCTAGAGACAAATGGATAAATTCCTAGAAATACAAAATTCAGGGCCTCCCCGGTGGCGCAGCGGTTAAGCGCTGGGTTGCATAGCGGCCTGCAGCCTCTGCAGCACCAGTTCGAACCCCAGCTGCCGGGCGAGGGTCCCACATGGCGCACAGACCTCTCCTGCCGCCTGCTGCTCCCCTCAGCAGTGTACTTCGGTCCTTCTGCCTGTCCTGCTCCCCGCTCTGGCTCTGGTAAATTTTTCTCACCCTCCCGCAGTTCTGACTGTATCCTATAAATAAATAAATAAATCTTAAAAAAAAAAAAAAGAAATACAAAATTCACCAAGACTATATCACTAAGAAAAATAAAATATGAATAGATTTGTACTAGTAGGGAAAGTGAATCAATATTCAAAAACTTCCCAACAAAGAAGTCCTGATGACTTCTCTGGTAAATTCTTTTCTTTAAAAAAAAAGAAATTATTTATGCATACAAGAACTGGGGTACAGGCCAGAGGTGTAGGGGGTGAGAGGATTCACCAGAGACAGAGTGTGGAGAACAGGCAGACTGACTAAAATACACTGCTGAGGGGAGCAGCAGGCGAGACAGGAGATGTCTGCTGTGCCATGTGGGTAGCTCCCTGGCTGGCAGGGATCAAACTCATGCTGCAGATGTTAGGGGGAAAGGATGTCCTGAGCAAATTCCATACAGGCTTTGTGGATGCCACCCCTACTCCATCAAGACACTGGGAACTACAAATCCCAGGATCCCTAAAGGGAAGCTGCAAGGACCTAAGAGCGGAGTTATGCAGCCATTTTCTCAGTTTGTAAATAAAAACCAGCCATGTTAGTGGGGTCGGGGCTCACCTGGCTCCTGCTCTTGGCCAGGAAGTTTTGGTCTCGGCAGGTCACTTGGGATTCCAGGTTGGCAGAACAGGTAGGATGCATTTAAGAATTTATCTCCCCCTTTTCTCCCTGAGTTGTACATTTCCTCATTCCCCTGTCCTTGTCAATAAACCTTGGTTAACCTTTTGTGTGTGCCTGCAGTGTAAGTCCCTTTTAAGCATGCGGGCGAGGACCCACAGTCAGGAAACCCGTTTTAGAGCGGGGTTGCCCTGTAACACAGAGACTGCGGATAGCTTCACAGTGCTGTGCTTAATCCCTTGCACCATCAGGGAGGCCCAACAGTTAAGAAATTAAAAAAAAAAAAAATCAACAGAACAAATTGCTTCTTTGAAAAGATTAATAAAACTGATCTATACATGCACACAGAAAAAGGAATGGAAAGAAATCATCCAAAACATAAAATTTTGATAATTTCTACAAGTACAAATACAGATCAGTTTTTCTTTTTCTTTTTTTTTTTTTTAAAGGTTTATTTATTGATTGATTGATTGATTTATACATACATACATACATACATACATACAAGCACTGGGTACAGTCAGAAGCGCGGGAGGGTGAGAGAATTCACCAGAGCCAGAGCGGGGAGCAGAGCAGGCAGAAGGACCGAAGTACACTGCTGAGGGGAGCAGCGGGCGGCAGGAGAGGTCTGCGCGCCATGTGGGACCCTCCTCTGGTGGCCGGGGAGCAGCCGGGGATCGAACCAGCGCCACAGAGGCCGCGGGCAGCTTCGCAACCCAGCGCTCAACCACTGCGCCACCGGGGAGGCCCTCTTTTTTTTTTTTTTTTTTTCAGCAGCACACAGCAAATTTATTAATAACAAGGGAAAGGGGAATAAGGAGATGCCAGTGTTGCATTTTAAAAGAGCAGGTTTGGGCCTCCCCGGTGGTGCAGCGGTTGAGCACTGGGTTGCAAAGCTGCCCGCGGCCTCTGCGGCGCCAGTTCGATCCCTGGCTGCTCCCCGGCCACCGGAGGAGGGTCCCACATGGCGCGCAGACCTCTCCTGCCGCCCGCTGCTCCCCTCAGCAGTGTACTTCGGTCCTTCTGCCTGCTCTGCTCCCCGCTCTGGCTCTGGTGAATTCTCTTCACCCTCCCGCGCTTCTGACTGTACCCAGTGCATGTATAAACAAAACAAACAAACAAACAAATAAATAAATAAAACATGCCTCTATAAAAAAAAATTTAAAAAAAATAAATAAAAGAGCAGGTTTATTAAAAAAAGAGAAAAGGAAAAATAGGACATTTGCATAGGCACAAATGACAGTTCTTAAACGGCAAGAAGCTACCCTTTGGAAGGGGCAGGGTTATTAAGAAAGAGATGCCTGCATAGGATAGTCTCGGGGCAAGATCTGCCTTTATTTTCTTGTTTATACTCCTCTGGGTTTTTTAAATTTTCTTTAAGTAAACTGTTTAAAAGTACCAACTCTATTATATGAAATATAGCTTTAGTAAATTTACCTGGCAGCCAGAGAATAAATGGCATTGGCAGATGCAGAAGGTTTGATTTTGGGGTGCTCACACTCTGGACCTACTAATGGGCTGTTATTCATATTCTGGAAAGAAAAGTATTAGAAAAAATATCTCTTATCATAGTTATCTCATTTATTTTAACTTATTCAAAATAAGAAGAACAATACTATAGACAGAGACTTCACTCCCACATCCCATACAATGTTTAAGAGCTACTATAGCTGACAAAACACAGTGGCTTTCAGGCACTTCTTTCAGGCTTTGTTTCATGCTCTCCTAAGGTTGTATCTAACCTGGCTGGTCCCTCTGCTCATAGCCAATGATTCTCCCTCCCCTTTCCCTACTTAACACCAGCTATATTAAAACCCCATTGCTCACTTGCTTTCTATATTAAAACCCCAAACTCACTTGCTTTCCTCTTCGCCCTGAAATGGTTTTCCCACAGAAATCAGTATTACTCATGCTTCCCATTACTTCAGGTCTTTTGCTCAGACATGTACCCCAGATCTTTTGCTTAGATCTGTATGTACCCCATCCCTCCAAATCCCAACTCCAGCTCTCCCTCCACGACTTTTCCTGCACTTTTCAGTACCCAACATCTTATATGCTTTATTAACTTACCTTATTTTTCATCTTTTCTCCACTACAATGTAAATTTTTTGAGGGCAAGGTATTTTTGTTGCATGCAGAAAATTGAACCAACAAAAGAACAAATATACCTTCTTCAACCCTAGTTCTAGACCTCTTATCTCATGCATATGAAAAGAAAACCAACCTGTCTTTATTCTCTCTCTAATCCATTCTGCATACTACTACTAGATTCATTTCTTTAAACCATCATTTTGGTCATGTTGCTTCACTAATTAAAAAACTTCAAATGCTCTTCATTTCCTACCAAATCAATTATTTGGGAGGGGGTATTCAAGGGCCTTTAAGCTAGTACTAATGTTCCCATGTTCCTTTCAAATTATCCCTTTTTCTTCTCTGATACACAAAATTTCTGCTCCACTCAAATTAAACTGCTTATTCCACGATCCACCTTAACCATTTCTTTCACTATAGCTCTAATTTATCTTAAAACTATATCCAGTTTGGAAAGAGTACTTCAAGTTCAGATGCCACTCTTTCCATAAAGTCCTCATGATTGCTATATGTGTAACTAATCTCTTCTTTCTCTATATGTTAAGCTCTTTAATTCATACTAATCATGTCATTTATACTACTACAACAACACACACACACAGACACACACACACTTTATTGTAAGACAAACATGTCTTATGACCTGTTCTATTAACAGGTCAGTGATTATGTTATATTATTTTTGGATCCTGTAGCAAACCTATTACAAAATTTTCAACCATTAAATTAAATGCCATCCACAAACAATTGTTAACAGGTTAAATAATTTCAAAATCAGAACTCACCATGGAGGTATCCAGACTGAATGTGCTTCCGAGCCTAGACACATCTGTTCTGGGTTCAATTTGTGAGGACAGTGAAAATGGAAGTGAATGCCGGTTGGTTAATTCTCTTCCTGTCCAAGGGTCACTAGGGTTTGGAACAATTACTGGTACTTTGGGGATTGGCCGAGGGAGCCATGATTCCCCAAGGCGGCTAGAGGGGACAGGGGGCAGTTTGTCTCTAGATGGACAGTCTCCTGGTGTGCAGGGCAAGGGGCGTCTCTGAGGCCGGGTTTCTGCTCCACCAGAATATGGCCGGTCTGGAGGGGGTGGTGGTGGAAGATCTCGAAGTGTGGGAGGTATTGGTAAAGGTTTGTCCTTATGAAGGGAGCCAGAAGCAGCCTGCGGAAGCATGATGGAAGCAAATCAATCAAAATTTACTAATCCACAACAAAGAATTAAAAAAGCTAGAAATGGATAATGCTTTACCTTAGAAGCAGTTCCAAGACCAGAAGCACTAGAAGGAATAGACACTCGCTGTTGCAAAAGGTCAAGTCGTGGTGGCACTGGGGGAAGGGAAGTTTGTGGGGGCATTGAGAATGGAGAAGAAGGCCGTTCCACCTAACACAGATAAAATTTCCTAATAGGTTATTCTTGTTTAGATATATAGCATCATTCAACCTCTCCTAAAGCTGTAGCCAGCAAAGATGATACAAACACTGAATATAATTACCAACTGGCCTAAATGGCATTGGGTAGCACATGTTGAATTATTTTGCTACCATTAGAGGGCACTCTCAATCACAGAAATAACATGCAGACGCGAGCTATGGGCAAATGCATCTAGAAATGGCTATGCACAACACAGCTGTAGAGGACTCCCAAAATTTCTTTTTTAAATGACATTTAATTGTTTCATTTAAAATTTCAAGAAGCTAAAATAAGCATATTTGTGAAACTTTATTTTAAATATGCAATTTGCCCTTTTCTAAGGTCTAAATAGTAAATTAACTTTCCTGTGATAATTCATTTTACATAGGTCATACTTTTTTTAAAGATTTATTTTTCTTATGCATACAAGAACTGGGGTATAGGCCAGAGGTACAGGGGATGAGAGGATTCACCAGAGACAGAGTAGGGAGCAGAGCAGGCGGAATGATTGAAATACACCACTGAGGGGAGCAGCAGGCAAGACAGGAGAGGTCTGCTGCACCAAGTGGGTAGCTCCCTGGCCAGGTAATAGCTTGATAACACTGACTTTAACCCTTGAGCCACCAGGGAGGCACCGAGGTCATACCTCTTTTGAAAGAGTACACTGTCAATACTAAGTAAAGGTTATAGTTGAATTATTTTGGCTACATAAAAAAAATAGAAATGGCTATGCCACATACCAAAAGCTTCCTAGTTTACAATTTAAAAAAATTACAACTTCAACCTCCTCATTTTTAGAGAAAGTATTTTCAAGATTAAAAAGATAAATCCAGGGCCTCCCTGGTGGTTCAATGGATTAAGTAAGTCTCAGTACTATCAAGCTATGACCAGCCACTGCAGCAGGAATTGGATTCCCAGAGAGCTGACCCACATGGCGCAGCAGATCTCTCCTGTCTTGCCCACTACTCCTCTTAGCAGTGTATTTCAGTAGATCTGCCAGTTCTGCTCCCCACTCTGTCTCTGGTGAAGCCGCTCATCCCTGACCCCTGTACCTCTGGGCCTACACCCCAGTTCTTATATGCATAAATAAGTGAAAATAAAATCTTTAAAATATACAGACATATAAATATATATAAGTATATAAATACACACACATATAAATCCACATAAAAAAGAAAGGGGAATACATTAATCTCTCAACAGATCATCTGGAGAAACAATGCTTGTGGGCAAAGCAAGAGATCAAAGATGATAAATTTTCTGAGATTATGACAAAGAGGAAAAAAATGAGATTTGTAAGAGGAAAATGACCCACATTATCACTAAAAAGCATCTTAAGTTCTTCTAAAGGAGTGTTATTTCAATCCTATAATTAAAAGGGATTAACATTTTTCTGTCACTTTGTGTTCCCAAAAAAGGAGGCACCAATTCATAGGAAACAATTCAAGTATAACCTTTTCCATTTCCTTGCCTAGAGCTGGGTGATAAATAGTTGGTAAACTTGTACAAATAAACCATCTAGAGATATAGAGTAATTCATACAAAATGCTACTTTGCATTTGCATTTCCTAACAGGGAGCAATAGAGATGAAAAATAGGAGCTTCCCTGGTGGTGCAAGGGGTTAAGACTTAAGATGCAGCACTATGAAGCTATCCACAGCCACTGCAGCAAGAGTTCGATACCCAGCCAGGCCACGAGGTGACCCACATGGCACAGACCTCTCATGCCTCGCCTGCTGCTTCCCTCAGCAGTGTACTTCAGTACATCTGCCTGTTCTGCTCCCCACTCTGTCTCTGGTGAATCCTCTCACCTACCACATCTCTGGCCCGCACCTCAGCTCTTGTATGCATAAATAAACCCTTTAAAAAAAGAAAAATAGGCAAATATTCAAGTACTTATAGAAGATGATAAAAACAGCCATCTTCATACTTAGTTCTGTCATTGGTGCTGGGTGATGAGTGAAAGATAAGAAAGCCCTCATCATTAGGTACTTTTACTCAGCCCTTAAGAAAATAGGCTCCAGGGCCTCCCCTGGTGGCGCAGGCGGTTGAGCGCAGGGCTGTGAAATGTCCACAGCCTCTGCAGCACTGGTTCCATCCAGGCCAGCAGGCGAGGGTCCCACATGGCGTGGCAGACCTCTCCTGTCACGCCCGCTATGCCCCTCAGCAGTGTATTTCATCAGTCTGCCTGTTCGGTTCCCCGCTTTGTCTCTGGTGAATCCTCTCACCCTCCCACAAATCTGGCCTGTACCCCAGTTATTGTATAAATAAATATTTAAAAAGAGAAAAAGAAAACAGGCTCCATGTCAACTGAGCATGAGCTGCTTAACACCTCAATGGTTAAGGAGTGAAAATGTGATTAGTCAAACTAACTCTCACTTCATCATCAAAATCTAGGTCAGTCACTGTATCCTGCAATTTTTCCATAAAAGAATTTCATATCTGTATCTTCCTTTCCATTCTATTTACCATCCTCAGATTTATTTATTTATTTATTTTGTGGGACCCTCGCCGGCGGCTGGGGAACAAACCAGCGCTACAGAGGCTGCAGGCAGCCTCGCAGCCCAGCGCTCAACCGCTGCGCCACCAGGGAGCCCCCATCCTCAGATTTATTTAAAACACCTTCTAGTGATTCTTCCAATTTTCGTTTCTCAAATCCTTTTGCTCACCATTACCAGCTAGTGGTCCTTAAATGCTAACTACCTCAAAATTCATCTATCCCACTGTCCCATGCCATAACTCCTCCCTAGCTCTCGCAACTTTCTCTAATTAGGCCTCCCTAACTAACAGTATTTTCCTCAACTCCTTGTTCTGGAATTCCTATCTCCCTGCCTTTATTTAAGTTGTTTCCCCCTTCAGAAGGGCCTCTACCTATCATCTACTCTATCATCTCCTCCTATCATCTACTCTCTTTCCCATTCCTCAAGAGTAGTGGGTTAAGCTAACTATATTCCTCAATTTATGACTCAATAGCATAACCAAACCCTGCAATGTTCTTTTATCTTAACATACATTAAAGTTCCATGAAAGGAAAAAAAATGCAAATGAAGAAATTATCTAAGAAATATGCAAGCATATTTTCAAAACCTAAGGGACATAAAAATGCACATAGAATGGTTCATTGCATGGTTTAATGAAGGAAAATAAATGTATAACTGACAAACAAAGCAAAAAAAAAAAAAAAGCCCTTAATTTTTCAGGGAACCAGGAATAAGGAAACTATTCTAAAAGCTTCTAGGGAGAGAAGGACAGGGGGCACCAAATAGCAAAAAATACACTAGAAACTAGAAGTCAGTAAAGCTGTAAGAATTTAGAATTGAATTTTTTTGAGTTCTACAACTAGCCAGCAGTTTGAGAATTGGAATAAAAACATTTCAAAATGTCAAATGTTTCAAAAATTATGAATTTCACCTTTTCAGAAAAAGCTATTTTGAGGACATGTTGCATCCAAGCAAGGAAGTAACGTAAGAGAGCGCAAAATATGGGAGCCAAGAAACACGTAATCCAACATAGAAGGGAGGCAGTGAAGTCACATGAGGATGGCAAGGGGAGAATGCAGGGTGATGGGGACAGAGAACACTTGGAGAATAACCAGTCCAGGCTGGAGCCAAAACATGCAAATTTTGCATATAGGAGTACAATGTGTTATATATACTGCCTACTGTATTAATATAGCAACATAATTTATTTCACAGAAAATTAAATTGAGAGGATATCTGATAGTATGTCACTTGGTAGCAACAGGTACAAACTGAAAAACGTAGTAAATAAAAATAAATCCCAGGAAAAGCAGAAGGTTGGGTAAGAAAGCAAAAGTAATTCTATTATTGTATATAACTTGGCATAGTAGGGAGCAAAATCACTTAAATACTGGATAATAATTTAGCCAAAAATTATTCAAATAACATCAAAAGGAGGAAAATAATAGATCTAAATCTGTTCTTTAATCCCTGAAGTGCACAGGTAACTAATACTGAAGAAAGCAGTATAAGCATATGGTAAGAAACAGTTTTAAGAACTAAAGAGTCTGAATGGGACACATAGAGGAGCTGGAGAGGGGAGGAGCAGGAAGCTGTTATTTCCGTAGGCCTTTTAGCGATTCTCTTAAACTTTAAAAAAAGTCATGTGCATTTATCACCTGGATTTTTAAAAAAGGAGATTCCCTATATTAAAAACAAAACAAACAACAAATAACCACCATGATGTGATGAAATAGGCACTTTCATAGTCTCAAATGTCTTTGAGAGTGATTATAGATCAAAAAAATTTAGTATCTATACAGAAATAAATACTTTTACTCAAATATTTTATTCATACAAAGTAGAGAATGTAAGTATAAGGTATGAAGAATAATGAAATAAAACACCCATTTCCTACCTACCATTCAGCTCAGAAATGAAATATAATACCACTTGTCTTTGCAAAATTCCTATGTGCCCCTTCCCTAATTATGTCCTTCTACAATATCAAAGAATATAATGTACATACCTTTCATCAAGCAGTTCTACTGCTAGAAATTTACCCTCTCTACAGACTTGCAATATGTGTAAGCCAGGAAACATGTCTATAGATATGGACATTCATTCATATTGTTTCCCAGCTTACACATATTGGCATTCTATAGATAGAATGCCATTCTTCTCTGAAGTCCTACAGCACTGAAGGAACCCAGTAATTTAGAACAATGCATGTTCTCTGTCATGAAGACAAAAGGGTATTTTGATTTCAAATGAATACACACATTTGAAATTAAAATAAATACATATATTTGAAAGTATTATTTAGTTTCCCTAATATTCCAAGAATTAACAGTAAATTTCCATGAATAAGCAAATAGCAATCTATATAAAAACATAAAACTGCCCTAGAGATCAAAGCAATCTCTTAAAATGGAACCAAAGACTCCGTTATGAGGGGTCAAACTACTGTCAACTTCAAATAACCAAAAATGTACCATTCAACTAGTATTTCCTTAACTGTCCATTACTGATACAGAATAGATCAACGTATCAATTCCAGTAATGAAGTGTTTTCAATTGCCAAGCCAACATTTCAAGTAATTACATAGGCTCAAATTTGAGTAACTAATTACAAATAATATGGCTCTTGCCTTCTAGGAACTTATATTACAAAGGGAAGGACTTTCGATAAAATATTACAAGGTTGTAAGTTCTATGGCAGATAGTCACAGAGTTCCAGAAACACCTGGGCAGATCTAGTTTATACGAACAGATTGTTCCAGTTCCCCAACATATTTATAGTGTGAGCTAGGGGTGGAACAAAGCAGGGTACAATCTGGAAAGGCTTCCCAGGAAATACAAATTAAATAGGAACTACAATGACACAAGCATGGAGAAATTTTTAGTGATTTGGTGTTGTGGGAACACAAAATCTAAAACGGGAAGGAAGGAGAAATGCACTTAATCCACTAAGTAAAGAGTCAGCAAAGCATGTAAAGCAAAGGAATGCAGTGATCAGGTTTATACTGGAAATCAAATACTGTGTGGTAGAACAGATGATAATAGCCTGAAATATGGTAGTGGCATTAAGGATAAAGAGGAGAAATATTAAGTAACGATATTAGTGTCTATTCATAGTTATATGAGTATAGGATTGTATGAGTCAAAATAATCAAAGTGCATGATACCTCTTACACAGGAAATGTATATTAGCCCTTATCACTCCTTGTAGCTTGAATGTCATTAATTGCTCTATTGCTTTGAACACAACTCATAATGGATTCTGTTAGTCTTTTAAACGGCAGTTTTACCTTGGCACCGGCCAATTCCTTCATCATGAAGAGAGAATCATCAGCTCGTTCATCATCATCATCGTCATAATTTGGGGAGGGAGCTCCCTCTGCTCCTTGCCTCAACAGGCTGCCATTTCCTCTAGGATCAAATGGATCTACCACAATGGGTTCAGTACCTTTAATTTCGCATCGGCAGAATGGACAGCCCTGTCCTTCTGATTCCTGCACAGGAAATAGGAGATGGTAACAGACACATATGTGATTTAAAACATCAGTCCACGAGGAAATACATTTCCTACAAATGAAAAAAAGAAATTCTAAGTTTAAAACCTCGCCCATATACCAGACTCTCCTATACATCTATAAAAGATATATAACCCCAGTTCTTCAAAGTGATTACATTACTCAGAAATTGTATGGTTTGAATCCATACCTGCCAGGACGTAAGACAGGATGTGCACATGAGGTGTCCACAGGGTTCAATCTTCACGTCTTTATCATTTTCAGCACATATTTTACACAGTTGGAATGTGGAGCCCATCTCACAGTATAATTCATATTGTTCCTTTGATTAAAAAAAAATTAAGAGATTACTCAGCTTCTTGCAGATTATTTGTTGAATGAATGAATGACACCTTAAATGATAAAAACAAGGAAAATAAAAACTTACTCTCAATACAAATGTTGTTTTTATGCAAGTGTCACAACAGTGGTTATATTCTCTTAATAAGCTAGAAAGCACCTGGTATTGATTCTATTTTAAATTGCATGGTTTAAAGAGAAACTGCACATATATAAATTAATCTAATATCATTCTGTCAGTTCCATAAAGTGTATACAAAAAATTGTCTCTAGTGAGTGATATGGTTATAATATAAAACAAAACTCACCTGGGTCACTTTGATGTGGTCTTGGGGAGTTGGTTCACATAAGCCTGTCAGGTCAGGATTCTGATTCCGTCCATCAGGAAACAAATAGCTATACAAAGAGTAACAAGCCTATTCATCACTACTTGCTAAGACAGACAAATGATATCTAAGAAATCCCTCATTCTAAAAGGGCAACTTTTTGTTAGTGCAAAGATAAATCTCACTAATACTTCAAGAAAAATAAATAACAGAAAGTTCCAAGAAGATACTCTCCAAAGACTGCTGTTTTTTCCCCAGAACACAATGCCACAAGTTCTACCTTTCAATCAAGGGGTTGACAAACTTTTTCTATAAAAATCCAGATAGTAAAGGACCTCCCCTGGTGGCACAGCAGTTGAGCGCTGGGCTGCAAAGCTGCCCACAGCCTCTGCAGCACCGGTTCAATCCCCGACCACTGGTGAGGGGCCCACATGGTGTGCAGACCTCTCCTGTCGTGCCCGCTGCTCCCCTCAACAGTGTATTTTGTCTGTCTGCCTGTTCTGTTCTCTGCTCTGGCTCTGGTGAATTCTCTCACCCTCCCACGCTTCTGACTGTACCCAGAGCGTGTATAAATAAGCAAATTAAAAAAAAAAATGCAGATAGTAAATATTTTAGGCTTTGTAAGTCACCTAAGTCTTGTAATACACTTTCTTCTTTGATTGTTGTTTGTTTTTTTTTTTTAAGATTTATCCATTTATGCATACAAGAGCTGGGGTACAGGCCAGAGATGCGGGGGGTAAGAGGATTCACCAGACTCATAGTGGGGAACAGAACAGGCAGATTGACTAAAGTACACTACAGAGGGGAGAAGCGGGAGAGACAGGAGAGGTCTGCTGCGCCATGCGGGCTTCTCTCTGGCCAGCCGGGGATTGAACTCGTGCTGCAGAGGCTGTGGACTGCTTCACAGTGTGATGCTTAACCCCTTGCGCCACCAGGGAGGCCCTGATTGTTGCTTTTTTAAACAATACTTTAAAAAGAAAAACTCTTAGATGCAGGCTTTGCCAAAATAGCTAGCCTATAGGCCATAGTTTGCAAACCCCTATTTTATTTTTTTTTAAGATTTATTTATGTATTTATTTATTTATTTATACAAGAACCGGGGTACAGGCCAGATGTGTGGGAGGGTGAGAGCATTCACCAGAGACAAAGCAGGGAACAGAACAGGCAGACAGTCGAAATACACTGCTGAGAGGAGCAGCGGGCGAGACAGGAGAGGTCTGCCATGCCATGTGGAAGGCTCGCCGTCTGGCTGGGATTGAACCGACGTTGCAGAGGCTGAAGACAGGTTCACAGCACTGCGCTCAACCACCTGCGCCACCAGGGGAGGCCCGCAAACCCATATTTTAATATAGGGATCCAAATCACAAAGTATAAACTCTTAATTTAAAGTGCATTTGCTCCATCTCTGGCCTGTACCCCAGCTCTTGTATACATAAATAAATAAATCTTTAAAAAAGAAAAGAAAAAAGAAAATGATGTATAATGGAAAATGGATTTTCTTTTAAATCATTTTAAATCACAAGTAGTTTTCTGATACTTGGTCAAATGTTAGTGTTTTTAGAGCTGACCAACTGATAATCAATTTGTATTCCCAAAGGAATAGCAATTCTAGAATAAATAAGAATTTCATCATAAATATTAGCATAGGTTATTATAAAGCTGACAAAATGGTGCTGAACCAAAATGAAGTTAGGATGAAGGTCATTAGGCCTGCTGTTGTTAGGAATATCATCTAATCACTCTAACATTGCCTATTTAAATAACTGGTAAATTTTTCTACTAATTGGTATTATTTTAAAATCAATTATAGAACTGAAAAACATTTGGAAAAGAAAAAGTTTACTCATGGTAGTAGCTGAAGCAGTAGAGAAAAATAATTACACTCAAGGAATCCCCTCTAAATAAAAACAAAAGTTCTACAGAATCTGAAGGTCAAATCAGTGACCTGTTAATGAGTCCTGATTCTTAATTTATAGAAGAAACTTGGAATAAAGTCATTTATGATAAAGTTTTATAGCCTCTAAGTTCATACACTCTAACAGATGGTAAACAGTAGGAACTCACAAGCCTTCTCTGAAGCCATCAATCAGTGCTTGGAAGAGAGGTTTATTGTGAGGGATTGTCTGGAGAATGTTCCCATCAGCAGTGACATACCCAATGGCCCACTGACCCAGACGTGTACAGCTCAGCCGGAAAATGTAACTGAAAACAGAGATAAACAGAATCATTGATATATGTGCTCCAATTAGGATGGAAGACAAGACAGAAAGAAAAATCAAAAGGACCATCAATAATAGATTTTTCAGTGACTCCAATCCAAAAGCAAAGGACATACATGTCTAATACTTAAGTGGCTTATAAGGATTTATCAAAGCATATCTGAAAAAGTCAGTTCCCCTAATAAACAGACATCAATCCTATTGCAGAATCATGATCACTAGAATATGAATAAAAAGATCATGTTTCCTTAATTCCAGCAAAGGTCACAAGAAAATAAAATTCAGAAGTATAAACCTCTTTGTTTCATGGCACTGACCTTCCAGGTTTGTGAATGAATTTCTGGAGCCGAGCTTTTACTTCATCATACGTCAGGAAAGCCATGTAACCAGGATGAGTCACAGCAAGACTATTCCAGTTCCTGAGCAAAGAGGACCAGGGCTAAAGAAACAAGAGATCAATCAGGCCATTTGGTTCAAGACATATAAGCAGCCTCAGAGCAAGGAAGAACAAAAGGAAAAATCACTTCAATTCTCAATTATAAATTCTAAATTTATTGTTACTTTAAGGGAAAGAAGACAAACATACCTGGGAGATAAGGACTTTGAAAACTTAAGAAATTAATATATGCTTATCAAGAGAAACGTAACAAAATAAAATTAAAGAAATTTTAAAGCAACTCTAACCAACAATAGTGAGGTTAGACAACAACAAAGAAAAAGCAGAGAAACAGGACAGAACCTTTGCATACAATTAAAAAGTTCCAATTAAAGATTTGTGCAAGGTGGTATATAAACACACATTATTTTTAGAAAAATGAGTTCTTTATGAAGCATCGATACATTTCAATATTAACTGTTAAAAATTATAATACAATAGGAGAAAAAATTGGAAGTATATATAAATATATAACAGAAAGCTAATTAAATATAACCACTTTCTGGATGTTCTACAACCAATAAAATGATGCAAAAGAAGAATATTTAATAACAGATCATGTGAGGGAAGAAAGCAGAGTGCGGTTATTTTAATCAATATATACAATATATATGTACATGAATACAAGGTAGTTTTAATTTTACCTTTATAATAGGCAAAATACCCAATGCTATTTTTAAAAAAGCTTTCTCTTGAAAAAAAGTAGCAATAATAGTCAACTTTTAAGTATCCTACCTGAAAGAGTCGTGTAAAGATGTCAAACTCAAAAACTGAAATATAATCATTGCAGGTCAGATCTATAGTGGATTTCAGAGCCATGGCCTCCAGCCCAGAACTGATGGGATGTACTTCATGAAGGGCCTGCCTGAAGCTCTTCCAAGGGACTATCGTCCTGAGGTGAGGGTGGGTGAGAAGGCACAGAGTGAGATAACAAATATCTCTTGGCATTGATATAATCAAGGGCAAGATTCACAAAGAAAGCTCTCAATATCAATGTCAATTCTCTTAAAGCTGAGCTATATTTTGGATTGAGAACAGAAAGTAAATTATATATTAATTTTCTTTTTTTTTTAATCTTTTTTTTTTTTTTAAGATTTATTTATTTATACAAGCACTGGGTGCAGTCAGAAGCAAGGGAGGGTGAGAGAATTCACCAGACCCAGAGCGGAGAGCAGAACAGGCAGACTGACGAAGTACACTGCTGAGGGGAGCAGCGGGCGGCAGGAGAGGTCTGTGCGCCTTGTGGGACTCTCGCCTGGTGGCCGGGGATCAAACCGGCGCTGCAGAGGCTGTGGGCAGCTTCGCAACCCAGCGCTCAACTGCTGCACCACTGGGGAGGCCCATATGTATTAATTTTCTAATGAGTGAATTAGTAATTGACAAGTCTTTTTCCACTATTGTTTGGCCAAAAATCATGAATTAATTCCCTTTCTCAACTTTCTTCACATGTTCATTCTATTAGAGATGGAGAGATGAGGTCATTCTTTTTATATAATAAATGTAATCTGTGACTATATAATAACACAATCTGTAGTCAGACTTTCATTAACTGAATGCCTATGTTCAAACTGACCTTTAAAAAGCATGTAAGGCCCTCCCTGGTGGCCTAGGGGTACAATCTATCACCTCTATGGCCTGAGTTCAATCCCTGGCCAGGGAGCTAACCCACATATAGTGCAGCAGACCTCTCCAGTCTTGCCCACTCTCCCCTTAGCAGTGTATTTCAGTAAATCGGCCGTTCTGTTCCTTGCTCTGTCTCCGGTAAATTCTCTCCCAACCCCGCACCTTTGGCCTACACCCCAGTTCTACACACATATAAAAAATAATTAGAATACCTATAATATCATTGTCATTGAAATGTTTATATATTTAGCTATCTGAAAATAGGGATATTGGCATTTTAAACTCTTTTCTAATGCAGTTATTACATTAGAGAAACAAATTTGAACTTATTTCCATCCTTTTCAAATAGGTTTCAGACATTGCTAATTATTCCATAAGTTTCTATGTAAACACATTGTTTTTTTAAATAAAAAAGGTATCGACTTGTTTCTAGAATCTATTTGTTCTAGTAGTACTATTTGTTTCTAGAATCTATTTGTTCTAGTAGTACTTTCTACTACTTTCTACTATAAAATTTAAATATATAATAACATTTATATTAAAACTTCAAAACATAAACTTGCCACAAAAAACTGTTTACATAATTTAAAACTTCTGAACATCAAACGACAATATAAGGAAGGAGAAAAATAAGCCATTGACTAGAAGGAACAGGCAAGTCAGAATAAGAATCTTTACTGATCCTAAATGTGAAAAGATGCTCAATTTCCCTTGTCATCAGGAATATAAGGCAAAATATGATATCAATTCATATTACTAGTATTAGCCAAACTGTGAAGCTGGAATTCATGTACATTATTTATAGGAACATATACTGACTGGTACAACCACTTTGGAAAGCAATTAGGCTTAGGCAAAGCATGAGTTATGAAAGCCACTGACTCAGCAATTTCACTTCTAGACAGATATAACTCTGGAGATATTCTTACTTACATATGAAGACAAATACAATTTTGTTCACTGCAGAACTGTTTGTGATAATAACTTGAAATACAAATGTTCAGAATTGATGGGGAAAGAGAAGCAGATTCAATCAAAGAGTTGGGGTTTCAACTGAATCTACAAAGCTTTAATTCTTTTTTTTTTTAAAGGTTGCTATGGTCAAGGAAAGAAGATAACAAAAAAAGCACTCAATATCAATGCCATATTTACAAAAGCCAGAAAGTAGGTACACATGTACTACTTTAAAAAAAAAAGAAAAGGATTTTTTTCATTTACTTACGCATACAAGAACTGGAGTCTAGGCCAGAGGTGTGGGGAGAAAGAGGATTCAGCAGACACAGTGGGTAACAGATCAGATGGATCTACTGAAATACACTGCTGAGGGGAGCAGAGAGCAAGACAGGAGAGGTCTGCTGCACCTTGTGGGTTAGCTCCGTGGCAGGGGGGAGGCGGGGGGGGGCACAGATCGAACTCATGCTGCAGTGACTGTTGATAGCTTGACAGCACTGAGACTTTAACCCCTGTGTTACCGGGGAGGGCCCACACGTATGACTTTTCTGTTTTCCAAAGTTTTAAGTATTTCATTCATTAAAAAAAAAAAAAAAAAAACTACAACATAAGCTTCAATTTTCCATAGTTCAAATTTATTATTGTGAGACTTACTTTTCCCCAAAAGCTTTCCTCCAAAATTCAGCAGCATCTGCTTTAGTAATCCGAAATGTGTCTCCTTGAAAGAGTCCACTTGGAAAGATCCCTTTTAGTTCTGCCAGCATGTGGCTGAAGATCAGGGACAGTTTGGTTAAATTTCGCCTATAAAAGATGAGAAACACAATAATAAAAAAACACATAAAACTTAAAGGTACTGAATTCACCATACCAGGTGTAGAATTAAAGACATTAAAATACACTTTCAAAGAACCTTTTCAAACATATTTTCTAGCCAACACTAGTAAAAGATACATAAAACTGGGGAAGAAGAGAAAAAAGGAAAGAGCTATTGACAACATTAAATAATCTGTAGTATTGTTATCTTTATTCAGAAGGGCTTCAGAAACTGTTTTTGTTTTAACATCCTATGAAAGATGCAAACGCAGAAGACAGACTGACATTCACTGGGTCCACGATTCTCTCCATTCAAATTGCTGTTACATAGTAAATAAGAAAAATGTATTTTCACTATGACAAATAAGAGAATTTGATAAATTAAGTGCAAGAATTGGTACACTGCTACTACTCAAAAAAGAAATGTTAGAAAGGCAAAATATACATCCTGCTTAATATAAACTATTCTAAATTTTAAAAATCATATATAACTCACTCAAGTTTTAAAACTTAAAAGTCTCAATAAGGACTATTTAAATATCCAGACATAATAAATATTTTCATGAGATCAGGCTTTAAAAGAGGTAAATTTTTACCAAAGCAACTCCTTTTCCTTTACCAAAAAAGAAATGCTAATATCCAAATCACATAAAAATTTCACCGTAAGTATACATGCTATTCCTTGGTTTTTTTTTTTTTTTAAAGATTTATTTATTTATGTATTTTTGAAGATTTATTTATTTATTTATACAAGCACTGGGTATAGTCAGAAGCACGGGAGGGTGAGAGAATTCACCAGAGCCAGAGCGGGGAGCAGAGCAGGCAGAAGGACCAAAGTACACTGCTGAGGGGAGCAGTGGGCGGCAGGAGAGGTCTGCGCGCTATGTGGGACCCTCCTCCTGGTGGCCAGGGAGCAGCCGGGGATGGAACCGGCGCTGCAGAGGCTGCGGGCAGCTTCACAACCCAGCGCTCAACCGCTGCGCCACCGGGGAGGCCCTATTCCTTGGTTTTTAACAATTAGTTAACTTTAGTCTAATAACCTCTGCTTAATAGAGGGATTATAAAGATGCCACACTGTACCAATATAACACACCAAGTGATGTCTGTACTTTTAGATATGTACTTTCATCAGATTATCTTTGTTATTTTTAATGATATTGTTACACAAAACAAAATAAAGTTGTTTAGATACTGTTTTACATCAAAACACCTACTAGTTATATTTGTTTATTATTGCTTGCCTCAACAATTAGTATTTATGTATTCAAAAGTGTACTGTCATACAAGTGGACTAAAAAATTTCAAGTCAACTCATGATCAAATATGATTGCTAAAATTTTCCTTAACAGAGATACTATTTTCTTTTTTTAAAAAAAGATTATTTATGCATACAAGAGCTAGGGTACGGCCAGAGATATGGAGGGCGGGGGGCGAGAGGATTCAACAGTCTAGTGGGGAACAGAACAGGAAATACACTGCTGAGGGGAGCAGCGGGCAAGACAGGAGAGGTCTGCTGTGCCATGTGGGTTGCTCCCTGGCCAGCTGGGATTCGCAGCCAGGGATGGAACTCCTGCTGCAGAGGCTGCAAATTGCTTCTCAGTGCGGGGCTTAATCCCTTGGGTCTCCAGGGAGGCCCTATTTTCTTTTCTTATGCTATACTGGAGAGCCACCATCAATCCCATCCTCATCTTTCCTGGAAATGCTGCACCAAAGTAACCAAGTTTTTCAGCCTTAACTCTTCTGCAAAATGCTGCTGAAATCTTTCCAGTCAGTTTTTCAACAATTCAGCTTCATTTTTTAAAAATATTTGTCTTCGGGCCTCCCTGGTGGCGCAGCGGTTGAGCGTTGGGCTGCGAAGCTGCCCGCAGCCTCTGCAGTGCCAGTTCGATCCCTGGCCGCTGGCGAGGGTCCCACATGGTGCGCAGACCTCTCCTGCCGCGCCCGCTGCTCCCCTCAGCAGTGTACTTCATCAGCCTGCCTGTTCCGCTCCCCGCTCTGGCTCTGGTGGATTCTCTCACCCTCCCTTGCTTCTGACTGTACCCAGTGCTTGTATAAATAATAAATCTTTAATATATATATATATATCTGTCTTCTTGCACTTGTAACAAGTTATTCTCTTTCTAGATTCCTATTTGCTTTCTCAAAGCACCTACAAAAGTGATAAAAGTAATATTTTTTCAAGACAGTCCAAGACAATCCACATGCTATAATTAATTCAGTGAACAAAAAACACAAGCACATATCCAATCCCTAAACTATGTTAATCATTTTCCTCCTTGCACTTTAAGACCCTTCAATTATTGCTGGCTAGGACTTTTTACTATTTTACCAAAGAAGAAACAAAAAAAAAATTCAAGGATATATCACAGAGGAAATCTGCAACAGATTAACTTGGTAGAAAAATTGCAAAGTATAAATTATCCCAAAGACTTTACTTTCAACTCTTCAGGACACTGGACTTCACAGTGAAATGAACCTCAATATTTATATAACACTCTGCCAAATGTTAATCCTTAAAGTCCACTATCCCTTTAAGACATGGTAAATTGCTGAGAACCTACTATATGTAGAAACTATGTTAAAAGGTATAGCAGAATAATGTATAATGGTAAAAAGACATATCACACTCCTGAGGTTACAAGAGAACTCTTTCTGGAAGAAACAGGTTTGAATCTTATATCTTCCTGAAAACATCTTTCCTTGGTTTCTTCCAGAGTATACCCTTGTTTCTCCTACTTGTTTTTGTTCTTCCTTTGGCTTTTCTTCCATTCTCTTAATAGCTAAGTCCCAATAATTTGTTCTCTGTTATTTTCTTCTCTTTCTCCATGTACTCTCCTGGCTCTTCCTTTGCAATCTCAAGGCTTCAAAAACTATTTGCAAAAGATTCCCAAGTCTTAGGATTTGGTAGCTTTCCAACTGCCTACCACATTTCTCCATTCAAATGCTAGTACCTCAAAGCAACATGTTCAAAATTAAAACAAATCCTTCTCAAATCTTCTTACTTCATGTTCCCTATTTCTGTCTTTAACAACATCATCCCACAAGTTCAAAACCTTGAATCATCTTGGCTTCTTCCATTTTACTTCTTCATATCATTGTCATTTTACTATTTGTTGTCAACTGTCAATACTACCTCTAAATTATCTTATGATTCCAATGTAAACTCCTTGCTACCTTACTTTCAGTCCTTTTATATATAAGTTCTCTTTTATACAAGTCCAATTATCATATATAATAATTGTCCTTAAAGGAGGGTGGGGAACAATTTCTACAGTGCCACTAGAGACAAAATCCAAACTTAGTCTTAAGACTGTCACTGATCTGATCTAACATACCTTTCTAACTAATTTCTTAGCCCTTCACTAGTATATTTTAGTCAAACTGAACACTTCACCTTTTCTTATACATTCTACCTTATTCACTTCCCTACCTCTCAGCCTCTGTTTATCTATTTCCTAGTTTGAAAGACCCAGCTTAAATTTCTTAACAAGCCAGCTGGAAGTAATAAGCCTCTAAAATACCCTCTGCATTTTCACTGCAGTTGTATGTCATCTGAACCCATCTTGTACTGTAGTTATCTGCGTACACGAGGGCTGAATTCATTTCCGATGTGTATTTATATCCGCTTGGGCAGCTGGCACAATTTTTCACCTTCACCGTATCTTCAGAAATTATATCTGAGTGCCTACTGTAGGTGCCTGTGTTTGAGTGTGCTAGGCACAGGGAGGGATATCACAATGAACAAAATTCCTCATTTTACGGCATTTACATTCCTATAGGAGAGTATCAGGTGATAGGAGAAAGTGTTTTGGAAAAAAACAAAGAGTAAGAAGAGAGTCAAGTTGGAGTGGCTGTTTTAGAGATGGTGGTATTAGGAACGTGAGTGCTGATTTTTAAGTTAAGTCTGAAGTGAAGACAGGAAGTGAGTCTTGTGATGACCAGGTCATGCCGGCATTCTTTGACTCTTCAAAAAATTTCCACTGAAAACCTGCCAAGTATACAGTGCTATGCTGGATGACAGATAAAATATACATACCAAGATAATAATGGACAGAAAGCTTTTTTAATTTTTGAAGTAAGCCACAGAAAAGACAAAGTTACTGACCACAAGGATATAATGGCACCAGAAACCTAAGAGCAGTACTAACTGCTGACTGAAATAGTTACTGAAAATCAATTTAAGACACTTTGCTAGACTCACAAGTTGCACCTCCCTCAAAAAACCAAAAAAAAAAAAAAAAAAAAAAAAAAAATACCAGCTTACATTCTGCAAAACCACTACAGATGTGCACCACAAGCAACACACTTCTTAAAAGGAAATAAACAATCTATAAAAGCTCATAGGTCAGAGCATTTTATAACTGACCTGAGTTGAAATTTTGTTCAATAATATTCTAAGGCATTAGCCTTAAGGTTAATTGTCTACCATGGTGCTTAGGAGAAATTTAATCAGCAGAATGCATCTAAATGTGTAAACTTGGAACAATAAAGCATGATGAACACAGGCTTATTAAAGGTAAGCAATGCTTTTCAAAATTCTGTCAGCAGTTATTTCAATTCATACAAAATGTTCCAACAATTCTCCACAAAGACCTACAAAGAAATACAACTGTCTAATTTTTCATAAACGCCAGGAAGACAAAACTTTTAAGTTCCAGTAGCAGCAAGTATGGGTTTTTATTCAACTCAGTATTTGAAGGAGGTCATTTGTACTATCTTTAACTCTAAGCATATAAACCTAAATAAAAGCAAATTGTGCTTCATAGCGTCCATCTTCCTCTTCTCTTACAACTTCCTCATAGACAAATGCTGATTCAGTATGTAGAGTCATTTTTTTTTTTTTAGTTCAAGGCTGGTGTCAGTTCTTGGCCCTTACCTTACATCCTACTCGAAAAGCCAATATTCCTTTATACCTAGGAACAAATGGTATATGTTCTTCCATGTATAATCTCAGCTAAAAGGGATTGAAATTTACATGTCACTAATAC